AACTGCAAATTCCTCGGCATCCATGAGAAAGAGAGACAACCAATGCGCACATAATAACTCACAACACCGAAGCGGGCCGGAGGGAGCCATCATACACCCCCCCTCCCCCCCCTCCCAAAAAAGAAGCCTCCCAACAGAATCCCTTTCATTCCCCATCCAGAGAGCAAAGGCCTTTCTTCATCGCCCCTCTCCGTCCCCCGTCTCTGCAGTGGCGCACTCCGCTCGAACTCCCACCGCTATCCCTCGGCGGTCGTACTTTCCAAATTCCCATCAACCGCTCTCGCTTAAGTAAACTAACTGCCCGCCTGAGTTAGGCGGTCTTTTGTTGACTTTTCCAACTACTTTCCTGCGCTCACGAAGTGGGTATGACGACCCGCCCGAGCGCCCTTCGGCGCAGCTTCTCTCCGATTCGTCGTGAGTGGCATTGCATTGGCTGCCGCCGTTTCGTTCTCCGACATAGGTATCCTCCGGCATGAGCTCGTCCCGTTGCGGAACATTATTTACTCGCTTTTTGATGCCGCGTTATCTCCTGAGAGGTAGATGTCGATTTTCCCGTTTCGATTTGACAGTGATACGGGAGATGGCGTTTGCTTGTGCATATCTCCAGCATTCGACATGCCAGATCACAGCGAGGCAAGGAAGGAAGGAAGGAAGGAAGGAAGGAAGGAATGAATGAATGGAACCCATCTTATCCGTATATACACCTACAGCGACGAGATGGTAGAGCCAGCTTCCCGAAGAGGTTGGCCAGCGCTACTGCGATAGCTGTCGTAGACCAATGTATTGCATTTCTCCTGTGAATACAATTACTGGTATCCCCTTCCCTGGACTGTCTCCTTCGAGATCACCCTTAACGGCTGAGGCTAGACCCTTACTTGAGCCTACGGAGTCAAGGCCACGAATTCCTTCAAAGTATCCTCCCCTAGCCCTTCCTCCTCCACATACACTCTCTGCATCCTCTTGAACCTCGCATGTAGCTTCATGCCGGGTTCCGAATCTGGACCCTCTCCACGTTTACTACCGCCATCAGTCTCCGGCTCCGTCTCAAACTCTCTCCTCAGCCTGCTCAATGCTTCTTCCCTGGTAACTGTAATCTCCGAGGTCTTCTTTCCCGGCACAGGCAACGACATCAACCTCTGCGTCTCCTTCGGATCCAACACCCATTCCAATCGCCTCCGTCTGAGCACTTCCAGCTCATCCTTAACAATGCTCCCATGTCCAATCTCGCAGACCTGTACCTTGCTCAGATACTTCGCGGCTCCTTCACTCTTGTTTCTCGGTCGCACAAGCCTCAAAAACGTCGTGCCTGTTGGTGGACCCTCCGGCTCCAGAATCGCCCTGTCGTCAATCCAGTGGAACAACAGGCTGCCGGTGCCCAAGTGTGCCCCCCAGGGATTCATCTCGATAAGCTTGACTTGGAATCCCGGCTTCCGGATATCAGCGTACACATCCAGGATCGTACTCTGACCCTCGAAGTCCACCGACGGCGCAATCTCCCGCCACAGCTCCCGCGCCTGGCGCACCATCTCCCTCAGGGCACCATCTTGCACGCCCGCGTGATGGTTCTGGTAGAACCTCGTCTGGCTCATCGCAACCATAGCGCCCTTGAAGATGAAGCATCGCCACTCGCTCAGCTTATCCAGACCCGTGAAGTAGGGAAAGAAGTAGATGCGATGGTCAACGGCGTCGGTGGCAAGCTGGAGGTCGAGAAAGCTGTGCACCGCTCGCTTGGACGAGATGATCTTGAGCAGCGCGTCGTAGAGGGAGTAGAGGGGCTTCTGGTTCCCGTCATCGGCATCCTTCAGAGAGCAGTTGCTGACCCTGACGAAGAAACCCTCGGCTGGGACGTCGTCCAATTCCCCCATTTCCCCAACAAGATGCTCCAGTTCGTTCTTTACGAGCGGGATCTTGTTCTTGGAGCCGTAGCGGGAAATTGCCGCGCAGCGAAGAAGTGTTTGCAGTTGGCCTGGTGAGAACGAGAGGATCTTGGTTGGGGGACGGAGCATGTTTCTCGCGATTGCGGGAGGAGAAATCCAGCGTGCCATGTTGAAAGGTTGGATCTCTTGCGCGCGGCGGTAGAAATAGAGCGGCGTGAGAATGCCGGTTTCCCCCAGCCATGGTGCGAGAGAGTGGTGGTTGTAGGCGTTGACTCGATCGTCCGGGCTGGTACGGAGGGGTCGTCGACCGATTATGATCTTGGGTTCTGCGATCATCTCGTGACTTTGGAGGTGAGTCGCCTCGGACTAAATTAAATTCGAGTTTTTGAATATGAATATAAAAATTAGATTGTGAGAATGTTTTTCTTCTTCTCCTTCTGAAGATATACTCGCTCAAGATGACTCACGCCGTGCGAAGGGGCTAGTGACGGAAACTATCATTAGTGCATAAGAGGCAAGAGGTAACGAAGAACTGAAATCCTTCGAAATTCACCAAGTTGAGTAGACGGACTGATGGCATGAAGATAATCCCGTGGAATTGTTAACTCCCTTTCGAACCTGGTAGGGAATCTAGAAACACGCTTCCGGCCTTTTATCCCCCGATCAAGTGTTGAACTTGCACTGATGTCGTCCATCCAAACTTGCTGATCATCGTCTGTGAACAACAATCCCTCCGCAATGATTCCCAGGGGCCCGCTGGCCTGGAGGCCTATTATGGCTTTTGCCCGACGACAGCTATGCTGTTTTATCGTCAGCATATCTATCACCGTATTCTGTTCTGGGGGGGTTTTTTAGGTATGGGTCTCACTATTCGAAGTATGAGTGTATCCTTGGGTTTCGGTACTCGGCCTTGACCTGTGCCATAAAAATTTGCAGCTCCTGCTTCGTCCACCCCAGAATTCTGGTGAACATTGCGAGACTCAACGATTCGCCGCCGGTCTGGCTGCCGGATTAGCATCATCTAGTTTTATAGTCTCAAGAAGGGAGATGTGTTCTGAAGACTCCAGGCCCAGATGATTCTCAGATCATCCAAACATGTGAGAATATTCTCAAGTCATCAAGAAAATGAGCAGTGATGCTGTACACCCACCTTGAAATTTTCAGTTTGCCACATTCCTGATCACAAGTTAAGGAATTGAAGATCTCGTGGGTATTGAACAACTCACCGATCTCCTTTAGTCTTTTGTCCTTGGGCCACCGGTTGTTCGGAATACTGGGTACATATGCGAAGTAAGCTTCCGGTTCTTTTCTTTTCTTTTTTTAACCCCCCCCCCTCCCTCCTCCTCCTCCTTCATTAGTAGAGAAAGCTGTGACCTACATGTGTATCGTTTCAGTAACATTGATGAAGCCCGCAGCAATCATCTGCTCTTTGTAATACCTCGGGCCATCTGCCTGGCGGCCCATTTTAGCCATCGCCTCTGCCCATAGCAGAGCCCTGCACGTGTCAATTGATGAAACATAGTTTTGGCAGATTGTGCTTCTTTCTTACCATTTGTATAGCGCAGAGTCTTCGGGCCACTCTCCGTCATTCAACTTGATAGGCCAAGTCGGATCTACCAACTCTACGAAACCTCCTGGGTTGAGGTTCGCGAACGCCTGTTCGAAGAATCTCGGATAGTTGTCGAAAGAGCCCATCATGTTCCGGCCGTAGATGAGGTCGAACTTGTTCGAGAACGTCCACGGTGCTTCCAGGTCGTCAATCTGGAACTCGACGTTGGGCGGAGCAAATTGTGGTTGAATTGGAGAGAGGTCGACGCCCAGAACACTACTCTCCGGGTGTTCGTCTCCAAAGTCGATGGCCCAGATTCCAGTGCCGGTACCGACATCCAGGACTCTGTGGAGGATCTTGTCTTTGGGAACCGGCGCTGTGAACAGTTTTCCTTCGAAGATCAGCTGGAACAAGTGGTATTGTAGGTCCAGGCGATCTTGTTCTTCTTCATCATTGGGGAAAGTGTAAGAGCCATCCTGTAAAGTATCTTAGCCACGATGTCACCGTCTAAGAAGACTGCTGTCCTCTGGTGATACGTTATACACACTTTGTATGCTAGAAAGACACCGAAGAGTCAGTGATCGCTTTGTAGAAATGGTACGGGGGAAGGGCAGGAGAAGGAAAATCATTTTTGAAATAAGTATGAACAAGTGAGCTCCCCCATGATCTACAAACGGGGTCATAATTGCCCACTCAATAATAGTTCAGGAGGAGGAGGAGACAAGTCTCCAGAGGCCTCAAGACAACCTAAGTAGGGAATAACGTGCTCTGCTTTTACCTACCGTGATAAGTCCGTCCGTTCTCCTCGCGGTATTTCATGATGCTGGATGCAATCGAGGTAGTTGAATTCAGTATCGACTCTCCTCCGTCTCCGTAGGCCGAATCGTAATCATCATCTTCAGCCTCTAGTCCCTCGAAACCGGCCGCGTCTCCGGGTGCAGTGGCCCCGGGGGATGTTGGCTGGGCTTGAGGAGGCAATGCTGCATCCCCAGTCGGAGATGGCGGTCTCGCGGCTTCTGCCATGGCTTCTCTGCGTGTAGATTGTTCTACCGATCGCGCCTAACCTTTCCACGGAGAGCGAAGTTGTCGTAGGGAGAAGAAGCAGTCGACCGAGCTGCTCCGAAGTATGTATATAGCTATATAATAGACCCGTACGCGCGGGGCGGACCGACTCGGAACTTCGAAAACCCCATCTGCCGTGCGTGCGTGCGTGCATATACGGAACCCAGGCAATCCTAATGTGCCGGTGGAGCAGATGGAACGAAAAGAGTTAATTGACTTGCTGACTGGGCTTGAGTCTGGTTACAATAGTACTAGCCACGCCTTAGCTAAGGCGATTTGCCTTTTCGAAGACACCGCAGACGATTAAGCGAGATTTTCTCAGGCTAGGTAGTGTACATGGAATTTGGTTTCTGAAATTGTACAGTATCAACTGTGTTATTGTTGATGAAGTGACGTTGTACTCCGGCAACCACAAACCATGCCTGATCTCGGTCACTGGAAGCGGGTAGGGCAAGATTTCGAGGTTGCTGAAAACCCAAATATCCTGAGTCATGATCCTAATATTGAACGAACGGGGTCAGCCCTGTTTACCGAGCCCGCTGTTTGTTTACCTTCAGAGTCCAAGCTCCCTCGCTCAAATTAACTTTTACACCGCCACGTCGCCAACCTTAAATATAGGAACCTTATAGGTCACCCTCGATACTCCTCACACTTCTGAAGATACCAAGAATCTTGAACCTCTGGGATCTCTGTGACAGGCCAACCATCGTCGGCTCTCTCTCGATTCTTCATATGCCCGAAACCACGGAAAAGACGTCGTAACCGATCTCGCCAACAACACAACTTCACGTTGAGCACCGTACAAGACAGTGGAAGGGCGTGATGGGTTGAAGCAGCCGCCACTCTAGACTTCTCAGGACATTTTTCCAATCAGACCAGACTGGCGGTCTGAGGATCTTTAGGCCGTGCCTTCCTGAATGGATGTCGGGACTCGGGATTGCCGGTGGGGCCCACTACCGGTATCTCACGTATGCACCAAGCGATAAGGCAACCAAGGGCGACATCTGGAAAAATAATCTCCGTATATATATATACTACGTAAAACGTTCCATTCCGTTACGGCCTCAGGACAAAACCAAAAGCTCTCGAGAGGTATTCCTCAAGTCCTCTTCGCCACCCTCTGCAGCAGATCATTTCATTAATTTGGACAGGCTTGACGAGGACGGTAGATTCGTCCTGGGTTCGATCACATACGTAGTACGTAGTACGTAGTACCCGGTACAAGAGCAGCCTCAACTGCGAGCGGGCACAAGGATGGGCAACTTTATTTGTAGCGTATAGGTAATTTCATAGCTGGATCAATGGAAAACTTCGAGCTATAATGCGTAAATTTGGCCCCAGCCTACCTAGAAAGGCTGATGGTTCGAACAACGCACTATACTGTAGTAGTACTTGCAAAGTAAGCTCAACGTCAGACGGTAAGTAGGCAGCTTGACTACAGCCAGGATCCAGCACAGCCCTAGTAAGCGTAAATGTCTTCCTGGATGTTTACCTCGAGCACTTCAGGTAAGTAGACAGCCAGATAGCGATGATCTGTCAGGAAACTTTTTAAAACTATGCTTCAAGCCTTTTTGCCAATACGCCGTGCCAGTTAGGTAGGTCTTCTTGCAACAGGTGCTACCAGATAGTTCATCTTGGCCAACTTCATTCTCGGTCAAAGGAATATATTCAGTCTGGCCTATGTAATCGCAAGAAGACGTAGCGTATTGGTTGCTTGGGATTTGTTGTTGTGATTGTTGTCCTCGCCGAAAAAGGTAATTGACGCTGCAAATAGACGATACACCGGATCGCATGGTAAGTTTGTATGATATCATGTCGATATCACGTCGTCACTCCCGTGACCAGGATAATCCCAAGGTCTTAAGTTCCGTTGTTCACCAGAACCCGGCAAGTACAAACAAGGCAATTGTTCGGAATGGACTCGCAGCGTCCACCGATTTCCTGTCGTCGTCCGATCACTCAATGGCGGAACGGATCGAACAGCTTGGATGCTGCGAATGGCGAATGATGGCATGGTATGATGCCGTTGTAGTCATTAAGATTCAATCCAAGTAAACAGCAACGCGCACAGTTCAGTCAACAAACAGCAGAGGCTCAAAAGACGGCTTCTCCGATGACGCGACTTGCGGCTCTTATGCACGCTTGTGTATTGTGACTGCGAACTGTCAAATATACAGATGGGCTGTCAATAGGAAAGAAAATCAGGCGGTATTAAAGATGGATTGAGGCCATGATAGCGCGATTCAACATACTGCACCTCATATTGATTGATGAATATATTGATAATAAACCGACCGACTGATTCTGCATGGAAGATGGAAATAGCAAAAGTCAAATTCACATGGCATTTCCGAGTAGAAGTAGGAAGGCAAACTACAACGTACTAGGTACGTAAGTATGGGACCGTGGTTGCTGTGACAGCCCCCTGCACCACACTAGCGCTCCACTCTCCTGAGATGAGAAACATCGTGATGTCGCCAACAACACAACAGCCTCCCTCGACAACCTCGACAACATCGACAACATCGACAACCTTCCAGCACCAGGTGCATCCGACGACCCAGCGCGAATACTAACATTGCCGCCAGAACAGCGCAGCACAGCACAGAATAGATTGGAGCTACTCTATCGCTTTCCATCACGTTACAGCTGCCTCACCCAGGACCGACATCGACACCGACACGACGACACTTACGAGAATCACCGGTAACGGGCGTGCGGACCAGAAATACGACTCTGACACACCAGCACAGGATCACTGGGACCATTGTTTGAGCGTACGGGCAGTACGGGGCAGCAGGAGAAACTCTGGCCTTCTGAGAGGTAAATTAGAGAAGGGGAGGCCCAGCGGATGCTGGCTCAACACGCGGTAAACACCACAACCGCCGTCCATGGAGGAGCCACCTTCTTCCCCGCCGACGGATCTGTCGACGCCGGAGGAGGCGCTCGCATACTACAAGTCACAGTACGAGCAGCTCGAGAGCGAGTTATCGGAGTTCCAGGCTTCCAGTCAGGAGCTTGAGGCAGAGCTCGAGAAGGACGTTGAGGCGGCGGAGAAGAGGGAGCGTGTGTTGCAGGAGAAGGCCGAGAGCTTGCGGTTTGAGGTCGAGGAGTGGAAGGTATGTAGCAAGAGGTCTCTACAACGCATCGATCTGACCGCTGTTGCAGTCCAAGTACAAACAGGCCAAGACCGAGGCCAACTCCGCCCAGAGCATACTCCAGAAAGAGATCACCACGCTTCGGGACACCAACCGAACTCTGCAGTTGAGGCTGCGCGATATCGAGGTTCAGAATGACGATTTCGAAAGGCAAGCCCGGAATACAACGTCGTCGTTGGAAGATCTGGAGTCCAAGTACAACGTTGCGATTGAAAGGGCCGTCATGATGGACGAGGAGATCAAGATTGGCGAACAGGAAAGAGAACATCTACGCATCGAGACCCAGCGGCTACGCGACGAGTTATCAGACCTCAGGATCGAAGCAGAGATCATGCAAGACAAACTCCGAAAACGAAATGTTCACAATCTCGCGACGGATGTCACGGCGCCTAATTCTCCGTCCCTGGGAGATTCTCCAACGTCTACAGCTTCTTCCCCCATGGTTCGGACTCCACCAGATGCAAAGTCTGTTTCGACTCCCGACGGGCTGACTGATGCGCTCACTCCTCCGTCTCCACCCATCTCCGACGCTTCTGGTTCCGCGAGACAGATGCTCAAGACTCCTATGAACCCCCCGAAGAGCAAGCTGAAGCTCCCATCCGGAGACTCTAGCACCACGCCAAAGCCCACCGCCGCAAGATACTCTTCTACTAACCTGCGAAGCTCGAGAGGGCCACCTTCAGCGGCACCACCGAGATCATCTCGCGTAAGAAATGCAACCCCCGCTGTTATTCGAAATGCGAAATCTAAAGCGCCGGCCACTCGAGGCCTGCCCAACTCGACATCACTCACTCATATTCGAAGCCTTACAGCACAAATGCAAAGGTTAGAGCAACGTGTACAATCTGCCAGATCTAAACTCCCAGCACCGATCCACACTCCACCACAAGCGTCCCCTCGAAACCGTTCCTCTCTCGGACACAACTACATGCCCCCAAGTGTCACTATAAGAAGCAGGAAGCGGACAGGTGGAAGCACGAGTAGCAGCACGTCAATGGCTGCCGAAGACACACCCCAGCCCTCAACCAAGCACGTCGCACGACTGTCTACATCAGGGATCTCTCGGCTCTCCTTTGGCCCTCTACCAGGCCGGGAAGGTAGCACCGATAGTAGACCCAGCAGCCGCGCTAGCGGAACCAGCTACGTGCGTCCCGATCGGCCTCTTTCTCGGACTGAATTTTCTCGCTCATTAAGCCGCACATCAATGTCAGGGGCTCGTACCCCGTTAGGCCACTACTCACAGTGCTCGATAGCCGAGTATCGCCGTCCGCGATCGAGTATTGGGGGTAGTTACGCCTCTTCGCACGGCCATGGACATTCGCAGAGCGTATCCCGTATTGATCATGACGAGTCGAGGGAGTTGGACTTTGTAACCCCGAGCCGACGCAGAACGTATGGGAAGATGGAACTGGAGGGGAGTGCTATTCCCGCTCCAGCTGCTATTGCGACGGCAAGGAGGAAGAGCGGCCAAATGGGCACGACTACGTTGCCTAGGAGGGCAACGAGTGGAAGTAAAGATATCGAAGAAATGAAACCGCCCGCACGATCGCGGAAGTTGAGTGGGGTGGGAGAGACCTACTAGACTTGGAAGGCGGGGGGTTTCTGGCAAGGGTGTAAGCTAATTCTTTACACACATTCACGACTTGTATACGAAGTTATGACTTGGTGAGGAAGGGGAGGATAGCGGTTTCCGTTTCTACTCTGGCGGTTGGCTCCGCTGTTCATTCTGTGCCCAGGTCGTTCGGGGGAGGGAAGGGCTTCTTTTGCTTGAGCATTGGTGCTAGTGGCGTTTTCTTTCTTGTTCCTGTGCTCTCAACCGATGGTTGTGGGCCTTGTCAGGAGGTGGCTGATTTTTGGGGCACTTGGTGTTTGGCATCTGGGGTTTTAGCGAGCGAGAGTGAAGGGGGGGGGAGGGGGAAGGGGGGAAGGGGGGGAGGGGAGATGAAAGGGGTAAAGTAATACTTACGCCTGGCACGTAGTACCGGTAGATGAGAAGGAATAAGGAAGGGAAGAGAGGGGGAGGGATTTGCTAGGCCTCAGGCCTTCAGCTCCAGGTTCTAGACTACGACTACGATGATAGAATCACTTTGAAAGAACCCTTTTTTTTTCTTTCTTTTTTTTTGGGAGTGGGGGGTGATGGTCTAAGATGAGGATAAGGTGCATGCGTGTACAGGATTTGAATTTGCAGATCTGGGTTGTTTCTCCTCTTTTTGCTCGACTGTGGGCGGCGCCAGGATAGAGATGGAGGAAGTGGATTGAATAAGTATATATTTAAATAGACACATATATAGAGAGAGAGAGATTTGTATATGTACTTGTTGATTCCGTCTCACTTTGTGACCTCGCGAGGAAAAAAAGATGACAAGTCATATGATGAATCCGGGGTATGTCTCGTGACGGGTTGCTATCTGTTGGAGAATCTGCGGAAGATCTTCGGATGGATGGCTGATTCCGCTGACGAGAGATCCCTCGCCGTCGCGTCGCACCCGAAGACTGAATGGCAGCCAGCTAGGTAGATCACCTCATTCGGACGTCCGTTGGTGATCGTTACTATCCGGACGGCAATACCGATGGGTACCTAAATGGATGGGTAGATGGACGGATGGATGACAAGACCGACTGGCTGGCTATATGCGCTCAGCTCCTGTGCTCCGTTTCACCACCATCTGAAGGTACGGGGGAAAAGAACAAGAACAAGAGAAAGCTTGTCGTGAAATTGGGTGGAGCCGGAAGCATCGCGATGGATACCGTTCTCGTTGGGGCGGATTGCCACTCAACAATACCGATACCCCGTACCAGTACCGGTATACTGTATCAAGGGATTATCAATGATCCGAGATTTGTGGGCGAGAAAAGCCAAGAGCAGAGAAGGGGAGAAGGGAAGGGAAGGGAAGAGAAGAGAAGAGAAGAGAAGAGAAAAGAAGTTGAGATAAGAACTTACTTACTGGCAATGCGGGCCATGTCCGGGGGATGAGTATACAGTACAGTAGCTCATAACGAATTGATGAATGGGATGAAAGATACACCAAGTAAGGTACGTAGTGCTACCGCTACCTATAAAAATAAAAATTGGTAGCCAGAGCCCTTAAACATAGTCGTGGACGGGTCAAGAACCGTCCGCTCGACTACCGACTACACTAAGCCCTTTCAGGCATTGTTGAATTAAGGTTGAGTTGGGATTTTCGCTGTTGAGAAAGCTCGACTCCACTTGTCGAATCGGGGTAGCAAAAGTGCGAAGCTACATCCAGGACTAAAAACAATAGTCCTCAGCTCCCCTCGACTTAACCCACCCTAAACCATCCTAACCCATCCTGACCCAACCTAACCATCCTTCTTATCAACTACCACTTGTCCTTTCTCGCACAAAAGAAAGAGAGAAAAATCCCTCTTCGCTTCTTGTGTTTCTCTTCCCAATCTAATTTGCATCTTCCCGTCGTTGATACCCAGATTCTCTCTTCGGCCGCCACGCTTCAGATTCGGCGACTTTTTTCTGCTCTGGCCCTATCAGCCCCGACTCGACGACTCGATTCAAACTGAACTCGAGCCAGACCCATTTCCCCAGGGACTGATTGAATCGGAATATAAGCAGAGAGACTACCGACGACCTTCTCCCATACACTTTTTGGGTATCTCTCTCCAGCACCACCAATCCCCCGCTGGTTGTTCCCACGCGAGCATTGATTCCGGCGCCATGGCTGCAGTCAATGCCAATGGTGTTATGGGTACAAAAGGCACTGTCCCAATCATGAACGGCAGCTCCTCCTACGCGGCGAAGCACAAGCTGGCCGACCATTTCATCGGAGGGAACAAGCTGGAGAACGCTGCCCCAGGTCCCGTCAAGGACTTTGTCGCTGCTCACGATGGCCACACCGTCATCACTAATGTGCGTTCAACGCCTCTCCAATCCCCTCCAGAATCCCATCAGGAGTGTAGACTGACAGATCCTGCAGGTGCTGATTGCAAATAATGGTATTGCGGCCGTCAAGGAGATTCGATCGGTGCGGAAATGGGCATACGAGACCTTTGGCGATGAGCGGGCTATCCAGTTCACTGTCATGGCCACACCCGAGGATCTGCAGGCAAACGCAGATTACATTCGGATGGCAGATCAATATGTTGAGGTACCGGGTGGAACAAATAATAACAACTACGCCAACGTGGAGCTGATTGTGGATGTCGCTGAGCGTATGAACGTGCACGCGGTTTGGGCTGGATGGTGAGCTCTGTGGAAGGTGTTGATTGATGCACCCGCTGACAAAGGAATAGGGGACATGCTTCGGAAAACCCAAAGCTGCCAGAGAGTCTGGCTGCGAGCCCTAAGAAGATTGTGTTCATTGGCCCCCCTGGGTCTGCGATGCGATCGCTCGGTGACAAGATTTCCTCGACGATTGTAGCACAACATGCCAGCGTCCCGTGTATACCATGGTCGGGAACTGGTGTGGACCAGGTCGAGGTGAACGATGATGGTATTGTTACCGTCGAAGACAGCGTCTACATGAAGGGCTGTGTGCAATCGTGGCAAGAAGGTCTCGAGAAGGCGAAACAGATTGGCTTTCCTGTCATGATCAAGGCGTCTGAGGGTGGTGGTGGAAAGGGTATTCGAAAGGCCGAGAGTGAGCAAGGCTTCGAAGCCCTCTACAAAGCTGCCGCAGGCGAAATCCCCGGATCCCCCATCTTCATCATGAAGTTGGCTGGAAACGCCAGGCATCTGGAGGTGCAGTTGTTAGCCGATGAGTATGGAAACAACATCTCGCTCTTTGGCAGAGATTGCTCCGTTCAGCGCAGACATCAGAAGATCATTGAGGAGGCGCCGGTCACGATTGCGAAGCCCGATACTTTCCACGCCATGGAAAAGGCTGCCGTGAGACTTGGTCGACTGGTAGGATACGTTTCCGCCGGTACGGTAGAGTACCTTTACTCGCACGCCGACGACAAGTTCTACTTCTTGGAACTCAACCCCCGACTGCAAGTCGAGCATCCCACCACGGAAATGGTCACTGGTGTCAACTTGCCTGCTGCGCAACTGCAAATTGCGATGGGTCTTCCTCTGCACAGAATTCGCGACATCAGATTACTCTACGGCGCGGATCCTCAAGCCTCCGGCGAAATTGACTTTGATTTTTCCAAGGAGAACAGCTCCCTTACCCAGAGACGACCAAAGCCCAAGGGGCACACTACCGCCTGCCGTATCACATCTGAAGATCCGGGAGAGGGTTTCAAGCCTTCCAGTGGTACGATGCACGAGTTGAACTTTAGATCTAGTTCCAACGTCTGGGGTTACTTCTCTGTAGGAACCGCAGGGGGTATCCACAGCTTCTCTGACAGTCAATTCGGTCACATTTTCGCCTATGGGGAGAACAGATCTGCGTCGCGGAAACACATGGTTGTCGCCTTGAAGGAGTTGAGCATTCGTGGTGATTTCCGGACCACGGTTGAGTACTTGATCAAGCTCCTGGAGACTCCGGCATTTGAGGGCAATACGATCACCACCGGATGGTTGGATGAGCTCATCTCCAAGAAGTTGACGGCTGAGCGCCCAGATCCCATGTTGGCTGTTGTTTGCGGTGCTGTCTGCAAGGCGCACATTGCTAGCGAGGCCTGTATTTCCGAGTACCGAACTAGTTTGGAGAAGGGACAAGTGCCTGCCAAGGATATCCTGAAGACGGTCTTCCCCATTGACTTCATTTACGATGGACACAGATACAAGTTTACCGCCACCCGGTCGAGTCTGGACAGCTACCACTTATTCATCAACGGCTCCAAGTGCTCAGTCGGTGTTCGCGCCCTGAGCGATGGCGGTCTCTTGGTCCTCCTCAACGGACGCAGTCACAACTTGTACTGGAAGGAGGAAGTTGGCGCCACTCGCTTGAGTGTTGACAGCAAGACTTGCCTTCTCGAACAAGAGAACGACCCCACGCAGCTCCGCACCCCGTCGCCAGGCAAGCTCGTCAAGTTCTCAGTTGACAATGGCGAGCACATCAAGGCCGGCCAAGCATTCGCAGAGGTCGAAGTCATGAAGATGTACATGCCGCTTATTGCCGCCGAAGACGGCATCGTGCAGTTCATCAAGCAGCCAGGAGCCACCCTCGAGGCGGGTGACATTATCGGTATACTCGCTCTCGACGACCCGTCCAGAGTCATGACCGCCCAGCCTTTCCTCGGCCATCTCCCCGACCTGGGACCACCACAAATTGTCGGTACCAAGCCCGCTCAGCGATTCGTCCTCCTGCACAACATTCTGGTTAACATTCTCAATGGTTTCGACAACCAAGTTATCATGGCTGCTACGCTCAAGGAGCTGATGGCTGTTCTACGCGACCCCGACCTTCCATTTGGAGAGTGGAATGCTCAATTCTCTGCTCTCCACGCGAGAATGCCCCAGAAGCTCGATGCCACCTTCACACAGATTGTCGAGCGTGCGAAGGTCCGCAAGGGTGAATTCCCGGCCAAGAACCTGTTAAAGGCGTTTAACAAGTTCTTGGAGGAGAACGTCGCTCCTTCGGATGTCGATACCTTGAAGACTACCCTCTTGCCCCTGACTGAGGTTCTTGACCGATACGTCGAGGGACAAAAGGTTCATGAGTTCGATGTATTCTCCGCCCTTCTCGAGCAGTACGTTGCGGTCGAGAAGCTGTTTTCTGGCCGCCAAGCCCGCGACGAGGAAGTTATCCTGAAGCTCCGAGATGAGAACAAGGAGGATAGCTTCAAGGTTGTCCAGACTGTCCTCTCTCATAGCAGAGTCGGCGCCAAGAACAACTTGATCCTTGCCATTCTCGACGAGTACAAGCCAAACAACCCCAACGCGGGCAATGTTGCCCAGTACTTCAGACCAGCTCTTCGCAAGCTTACCGAGCTCGAGTCGAGACAGACTGCCAAGGTTTCGCTCAAGGCCCGTGAACTCCTCATCCAGCTGTCTATGCCATCTTTGGAAGAGCGCGCTGCTCAGATGGAGCACATTCTCCGATCATCCGTTGTCGAATCGCGATACGGTGAGACTGGATGGGAGCACCGAGAGCCCGACCTTGAGGTCCTCAAGGAGGTCGTTGACTCCAAGTACACTGTCTTTGACGTCCTGCCCATCTTCTTCGGTTACAAAGACCCCTGGGTCTCCTTGGCTGCTCTCGAGGTCTACATTCGACGCGCATACCGTGCCTACAACCTGAAGAAGATCGAGTATCACAACGACTCGCAAGAGCCTCCTTTCATCGTCTCCTGGGACTTTGTCCTCCGAAAGGTTGGCGTATCTGAGTTCGGCATGCCTATTCAATCCGCGCCTTCTACGCCAGCCACCCCTTCCTACGAGAGAAGCAACCCCTTCAAGCGTGTCAGCTCGATCAGTGACATGACATACTTGGTCAAGACCGGCGAAAGCGAGCCAACAAGAAAGGGTGTCATCGTTCCGGTCCAGTACTTGGACGAGGCTGAAGAGTATCTGCTGCGCGCTCTTGAGGTTTTCCCTACCTCTGACAGCCGCAAGAAGTCGTCTGCCAACGGACAGCTTATGCCAGATCTGAACGGCAAGCGTAAGACTCAGACTCCGGTCACTACCGAGGACGAGCTCACGGCGGTCTGCAACGTCGCTATTCGCGACTCCGAGAGTCTTGATGACAACGAGACGATTGCCAGAATCAATTCCATCGTCCAGGAGTGTAAGGATGAGCTTCTCGCTCGCGGCATCCGACGTCTCACGTTCATCTGCGGTCACAAAGATGGATCGTACCCAGGATATTACACTTTCCGGGGGCCCAACTACGAGGAAGATCAGAGCATTCGTCACAGTGAACCTGCTTTGGCTTTCCAACTTGAACTCGGAAGACTCTCCAAGTTCATAACCAAGCCCGTATTCACTGAGAACCGCAACATCCACATCTACGAGGCTGTTGGCAAGGATGTCGAGGGTGACAAGCGGTACTTTACTCGTGCGGTCGTCCGTCCAGGTAGACTACGTGATGAGATCCCAACTGCGGAGTACCTCATCTCCGAGTCTGACCGACTCATGAACGATATTCTCGACGCTCTAGAAATTATCGGCAACAACAATTCTGATCTCAACCATATCTTTATCAACTTCTCCCCCGTCTTCCCACTGCAACCACCCGAGGTTGAGAAGGCTCTCGGTGGCTTCCTGGAGCGCTTCGGTCGTCGTCTCTGGCGACTCCGTGTTACCGGTGCTGAGATCCGCATCATCTGCACCGAACCGACCACGGGCATGCCATATCCTCTCCGTGTTGTGATCAATAATACGTCCGGATACGTCATCCAGGTTGAGATGTACGCCGAGCGCAAGTCCGAGAAGGGCGGGGAGTGGGTCTTCCAGAGCATTGGGGGCACTACCAAGATCGGCTCCATGCATTTGCGCCCTGTATCCACGCCATATCCTACCAAGGAATGGCTGCAGCCAAAGCGATACAAGGCTCACATCATGGGCACGCAATACGTCTACGATTTCCCGGAGCTGTTCAGACAAGCTATTCAAACCTGTTGGGTCAAGGCTGTCAGCAAGCACCCCTCTTTGGCTGAGAAGCAGCCTCCAGTTGGCGAGTGCATTGACTACAGCGAGTTGGTTCTTGACGACAAGGACAACCTTGCGGAGGTCTTCCGTGAGGCTGGTACCAACACCCACGGCATGGTCGGATGGATCGTGACTGCCAGAACCCCCGAATATCCTCGCGGCCGCAAGTTTGTCATCGTTGCCAACGACATTACGTTCAAGATTGGCAGCTTCGGACCTAAGGAAGACCAGTTCTTCAACAAGTGCACAGAACTTGCTCGAAAACTTGGCATCCCTCGTATCTACCTGTCTGCTAACTCCGGTGCCCGCATTGGTATGGCTGAGGAGTTGATTCCCCATTTCAATATCGCATGGAACAATCCCGACAAGCCCGAAGCTGGCTTCAAGTACCTGTACCTGAAGGCTGATGCCAAGAAGCGATTCGAGGATGGCAAGTCCAAGGATGTCATTACCGAGGAGATCACTGAGGATGGTGAAGTGAGACATAAGATCACTACTATTGTCGGTGCTGAAGATGGTCTCGGTGTTGAGTGTTTGAAGGGCTCTGGTCTGATTGCCGGTGCCACCAGCAGAGCTTACGAGGACATCTTTACCATTACACTGGTCACTTGTCGATCAGTCGGTATGTCTCCTCGATCTCCCGGGGGTGTTTTTTTTTAACTAACATTCACAGGTATCGGTGCCTACCTGGTCCGTCTCGGTCAGAGAGCTATCCAAATTGAAGGACAACCAATCATCTTGACTGGTGCCCCTGCTATTAACAAACTTCTCGGCCGTGAGGTGTACACTTCCAACTTGCAACTTGGTGGCACTCAAATCATGTACAAGAATGGTGTGTCTCACATGACTGCCAACGATGATTTCGAGGGTGTGTCCAAGATTGTCGAGTGGATGGCATACGTCCCCGACAAGCGAAACAGCCCACTGCCGATAGGACCAGCTGTTGACTCTTGGGATCGTGATATCGTCTACACTCCTCCACCAAAGCAGCCATATGATGTGAGATGGTTGATTGCCGGTAAGGAGGACAACGAAGGATTCATGCCTGGACTCTTCGACAAGGAGTCATTCGTCGAGACTCTCGGTGGCTGGGCGAAGACAGTCGTTGTTGGTCGTGCTCGTCTCGGCGGCATCCCCATGGGTGTCATCGCAGTCGAGACTCGCTCGGTTGAGAACATCACTCCTGCCGATCCCGCCAATCCTGACTCGACGGAGCAAATCACCAACGAGGCCGGTGGAGTTTGGTACCCCAACTCCGCGTTCAAGACTGCTCAAGCTATCCGGGATTTCAACAACGGAGAGCAACTGCCGTTGATGATCCTGGCCAACTGGAGAGGTTTCTCCGGTGGACAGCGCGACATGTACAACGAGGTCCTGAAATACGGATCGTACATTGTCGATGCGCTGGTTAAGTACGAGCAGCCAATCTTCGTCTACATCCCACCTTTCGGAGAATTGCGTGGCGGCTCATGGGTCGTCGTCGATCCTACAATCAACCCCGAGTTCATGGAGATGTACGCCGATGAAGATGCGCGCGGTGGTGTCCTCGAGCCCGAGGGTATTGTCAACATCAAGTATCGCAAGGACAAGCAACTTGAGACCATGGCCCGGCTGGATCCCGAGTACGGTGCACTCCGCAAGCAGCTCGCCGACAAGTCCCTGACTCCCGAGCAAATCTCCCAAGTCAAGGCGAAGGCTACTGCACGCGAACAGCTGCTGCTTCCTGTCTATTTGCAAGTCTCACTTCAGTTCGCGGATCTCCACGATCGCGCCGGCCGCATGAAAGCCAAGGACGTTATCCGCCAGTCCCTCGTGTGGCGCGAAGCCCGCCGCTTCTTCTACTGGCGCGTCCGCCGCCGTGTCAACGAGGAGTACATCCTCAAGCGCATGGCGACTGCTTCCAAGAACCCTCTCGCTTCCCGCGCGCGCAGCCTCGAGACCCTTGCTGCGTGGACCGGGATCCCGCAATTCAAGACGGCTGATAGGGATGTGGCCATGTGGTACGAAGAGAACCGCAAGACGGTGCACGAAAAGGTCGAGGCTCTTAAGGTAGAGGGCGTCGCGTTTGATGTGGCCAGCTTGCTGAGGGGGAACAGCAAGGGGGGGCTGAAGGGCGTGCAGCAGGTTCTGAGCATGTTGCCTGCTGCCGAGCGTGAGGAGGCGTTGAAGTTCTTGAGTCAGACTTAGATGGCGGAAGTGGAGAGGACTAGATGATGGGGATGAGAGATGGGGATGGGAGGTTGAATCTTTTCTGGGTGGGTATAGATGGCTTGCTAGAGAGAGAAGGAGAAAGAGGCGTGTGTGTACATTGAACTGCTACTGCGTTTTCCCTGCCCCCCTTTTTTGTAAATCATTCATGTGCATATAGGCGATTTGGGTCTGGTTTAGTTAGAGGAGAGGGGAGAGAGAAGGCAACGAATGGATTAATGTTTGGTACTTTATCTATGTAACCTTACCTATCTACAATTTTGTATTTCGTTTTTGGCTCTTTTGGGTTTTTTGGTTTAATGGTTCACTGATTTCTTCTCTGAATAACATCTACGAAGCAGCACCTGCTGAAACCGACCTGACCGAATTGAACCGGGTCTCCAGACCCAAAGAAGCGAGCCGCGAGAAGAGGCCGCTAGTCGAGATGTATGGTCCAACTCGGCGCACATTCGATATCGGAATTTCGATGAGAGGTTAGGTAGGTATGGGTATGGGTATAGGTTTATTTATTTATTTATTTATTTATTTATTTATTTTCTTTCTTTCTTTCTTTCTTTCTTTCTTTCTTTCTTTCTTTCTTTCTTTCTTTCTTTCTTTCTTCAATGTCGCACGCATGTTAACTAGGTTTTGGGCTGGTTGGGACTTGAGCTGGAAAAGGAGCTGGGAAAGGGGTGGAGAAGGATAAGAGGAAGTATTTGAGTTTGATTTTGATTTTGATTTGATTTTTAAAGGGCTGGGGTTGATTGATTGAGGCCTTAGTGTGAGGCCTTGGTTTGAGGCCTTGGTGAGGTTGGAGTTAGCATTGGGATTGAGGTTGAGCGCGTCAATGCCAATCGCCCACAGCGGCCATCTGTGGCTCGGGCGGGAGCTTCGTTAGCTCTTTCTGCAGTAGCAGGTGCGCGACGACGATTTCACTTTCACTCTTGTGGTGTTGGGTGTTGAGACTGATCTTCTCCTTCTTCTTATCCGGGTTCCCCGTCGTTGTCGTCGTCGTCGTCGTCGTTATCGTCGTCGTTTTCGTCGTCCGGTCTGACTCGGCTCCGTCGGCTGCGATGGGGATTTGCGGATTCATTACCGGGATGGGTTTTTCGCTATTGGTATTGCTGTTGGTAGATCGGGAGGAGGAGGAGGAGGAGGAGGAGGAAGAGAAGGAAGAGTACAGCTCCTCGCCTCCAGGCAGGCGGACGCTGTCCGCGCGCAAGGTCTCGCCAATGTCGGCGACGAGCACGTCCATGGGGCAGATGTACGCGACCATCTTCTGCGCGCTCCAGGCCAGCACGTGGCCGCAGGCGCGCCCGCGCTCGTTGTCGACGACCCAGGCGCCGCTGTCGCCGGGGATCCCGAGCCCGCCGGCGACCTGGTAGCTGGACGAGGGGGTCTGCCGGCCGAAGATCTTGACGATGGCGAGACCCGGGAGGATGCGGCCGGATTGCAGGCCGGAGGAGCGGCCGAGCCCGTGGACAGCGAGGTTGCCCAGGTCCGGCGAGGGGGCCACGGAGACCGGGTATGTGGTCGGCGGCGGCTGCTGCAGGCAGAAGCGGTGGCCGTTCTTGATGTGGTTGGTCGCCGGCTGGCGAGCAGGTGAGAATTTGAAGAGGACCCAGTCGATCTCGTGCACGATGCCTCTCTGGTCGGTGCGACGACGGATGCCGGAGGAGGCGTACAGTTCGCCGAGCTGGAAGGAGTTGAGGTGGTCTTCGTCTCGCGTATCTTCGGACGGGAAAAAATCGTCGGATACGTCGTCGATGGCGGGCTGGGTGATGAGGTAGCCGTCGCCGCAGCCCTGCGGGATGCCTTTGATATCGCCTGGTTTCATGTTCTCGTCATCATCTTCCTCTTCGTCGTCTCTGTCTTCGTAGGAGTCTGAGAATTCGGCCTCGGACTCTTCAGCAGAGGTGAAATCAGAGTCGTAGTCTGAGAGCGTGTAGAGGTACTCTTCATCACCGCTGCTGTACGCCGAGGACTCGGAGAGGATCAGGTCTTGCATTTCATGCTGGTGCGCGCTAGAGCGGAGGATAGGCGCAGCGGGCTCCTCCTCGTCCGAGTCTTCGTCGTCGGACGGGTCGTCGAGCATATGGTGAACTGTCATGCCGTAAGGCTTGCCATCGACGACTACAAGGCCGCCGAAGGAGACGGGAGGGAGGTGGCGCTCTCCTACGTAGGCGCCGATGGAAGCTCCATTCAGTGGGCGCTCCTGGTGCTCGATGTTTACGGCTTTGGATGTGCCGAATTCGCCGGCAGTTGACCGACGAGGGCGTTTGCGCGAGCGCACGACTTTGCCGCGGCAGACTTTCAATCCGTATGTTGCTCTGTCATAAACGAGGGATTTCCCAAGGATGCTGCGAACTTTGTTAACGCTGGTGCAGATGACGAGTATGGTAGGCTGAGTTCTTGATGGAGACTCGCCGATGCTTTCTAAGCTGATCTCGACGGACTCGGGGTATTTTTTGTAGAAGTTTCGGAGCACGTGGTTGATGTGCGGTATCAGCCCGCTATGCCAGAAGTCTAGGCGCTCTTGGTCAATTCTGACCGATGGGAAGGTCCGAAGTTTGGATCTGGGATTTTCGAGCATAGGTGCAGGAGCTATGATATTTAGATATGAGAAGCTTAGCGAGATAATGATACTCACTAGATTGCTTGGGGGGTAGCTTGTCAGACCAGATTGGCTTCTGAGCGAACGAAACAGATGATTTTTCATACGCCGACTTCTCGTTGCAAGAAGATAATACTGGAGCTGGGGGATTAGTGACAGGAGCAGGCAACTTTCCATCACTGATAAACCGTGTCTGAGAGTCAGATGGCCTCGAAGCTCTTATCGGCGTTGATAGAACCGGTGGATAGTCACCACTACTTTCATTCAAATCGTCTGAGCTCTCATCAATGGCACAGCAAGTATCCAGAGCTTTGGACACCTGCCACAAGACCTTTTGATGCATCACATCGGGTCTCGCTTTTTCAGAGATCTCATCATCTGGCGCACGCCAGCAAGCTTGCACAGCTTTGACATACAAGCTTCCGCATCTGGCAGCGAGCTTCCTAAGCGCACCCGCAGGGTTTTTGGGAACGGTAGAAACCGTAGGAAATATGTCGGGAAGAGAAGTCCATAATCCGATTTCCAATAGGAGCATAGCTAAGCTGTAGAGATCCAAGGACTTACTGTCGGGAGTGAGTCGCGTATAGCGTGTAGCTCGAGCGTCGAGAGAGTGCCTGTATAACGACGGCTTGAGATCGGAAGAGGAGTCGGAACTATCAGCGGCGTTATCGGGAAACAGGTCGCAAGATGTGAGGTATGGGTGCCGCATGTTGACTTGTGTCAATTCTAAGTGGCCTTTAGACTGAGCCTCGATGAACAGGATGTTGTTGGATGCAATATTGCCATGCACCACCCCATTTGTATGCAAGTCAAAAACAGCATTAGCGACATTGTAAGCGAGACGGTACTTGACTTCCAGACTCGGCTCATAGTTGCGACTAAATAGTAAGTCGGACAGAAAGTTCATCGTCGGCATCTGAGGGCTGGAAATATCGACGGGTCCAAAGTGTGTAGGCAGCGCGTACAGAAGACAGAATCTTGACTGATCTGGCTCCTCGAAATATCCGATCAGATGTAGCAGACCCGACAGGACCCGTCCGGTAGACACATACGACTGCGAAAGCGCCGCGAACAGCTTCTCAAACCTTGTCATCGAAGGCGTGACACCAGTAATGGAATAAATAGGATCGTACGCCGCATACTCCAACAACGCCGGCAAAACGGTAGGCGCAGCCCCCAATCTCCTTGCTTCGTCAGAGTTCGGTCTCCGCATAAACACGATTTGCCTTTGGAATTTCGCTGGCGGTAACGTACCAGACGGTAAATTCTTGAGATCCCTGGGCCATATAAGCGCTTTCGGATCAATCTGCTGCGGCGTCTGCATTCTGGTCGACTCGAACATCTTCTCTTCCGCTGCAGGACCCTTCGCCTGCAGTCCAGGCGTGTCCTCGCTCTTCCCAGACATCGGTCTCCGCACCGACTGTTGAGTCCGCGATATATCATACAGCGTGTCAATCGACATGGTAAGATCTCTCACTAGATCCTGAAACCGGGATCTATCCCACACAATGAGCGATTGCTTCCTATCCCTGCCCACACCCTTCTCGCCTGGGCTCGTCTCACCCCCCGCCCTCTTCTTCGAGGCCTGCCAAAGCGGTTCCGCCTCGGCGAGAATCTCTTTGATGGTCGACATAACGCTGCCGACCAGCTCGCTGAGCCCGGCTTTGTTGATGGACTCGTCGATGTCGGCATCTTCAAGCGCGCAGTCGCCCGACCACATGAGACCCCATGATATCAACCTATCTTTCTGTATACGCAGCTTGCGATGCAGAGAAATGACTTCGGGGTCTTGTTCACTTTGCACGAGCTCTTTAACGAAATCGTAGGAGCTTTTCGTGTCGGTATACATCTTGGTTAGACGCCGTTGGAAAGGCAGCGGGATACCGAAGAGAGAGTCCATTATGCGTGGAAATTGTCGCAGCGATCAATCAAACTGGGTGTAAATACGTATATACCAAGCAAATATAGAGGAAAATGTTAAGAAGCCAGTTGATTATACTATAATGAGATGTTGTTAAGGTTGTGGTTTTGTGAGGTGCCAAATGCTGTTGCCTTGGACGCTAGCTCCTTGTAACGTGATACCAACATCACGTAGTACAAGCGAACGACTTCCTCGACATCTTCAAGTCCAAGCAAGGGTGCCCAAGATCCTCATCTGCGATAAATACACTTGACTCGGTATAGGTTATGTGTAAAAGCCTGGCAGTATAAATATAGAAAGAATCCAATACTTTCCACAATCTTAACATCCATCGTTCGCGGTTCCGTCGCTTAACATTTCTAGGACAAGTGGAATGTAGGGCATCCGTGATCGAGAGAAGTATTGAGAATCCGTCCCCCATCACGCACCTCACCTCCCACGGCCGATCACTACTATAATTAACAGTGGGCCGAGTGGTCGTCGTAGCTCTGAATTATCTGACAGGTCTGGGGTTCAGGTTGTCAAACATTGACGGTGCGAGTGTCCAGAGCGGGAGAACACGGTCACACTGACAATCCACGATCAAATCAAAGGTTAAATGCTTTTTGGTATTCCGCTGCATGCTTCGCTTCCTCTCGCTCAACTTTTTTTGGAGTCAAGCAGACGGTTCTTCCGCAACCAGCTCACAGGTCTCGCAGAGCATGGCTGCTTTGCAAACGCGGATCCCGCTCCCAGGAACGCGCACCAAAATTTTCATGCAATTAACCTGCCATTCAAAATACTGGGTATCTATCAGAAGGAGAAGCCCCATTTACATCCTATTTGAATGTCAGTAGTCATTCTTCAGTCACGACATCTCGTTCGTTTACGATGCGAAAAAGGGGGCGCGGTAAGCGAGAAGAAAGCAAAACATACCGCTCAACAGGCGTCAACCCTAACAGACGCATCCCGTTATTCAGCACAGTTCTCGCCGAATCATACAGTGCCATTCGAGCCTTCATCAGCTCCTTTTCGCTCCCCACAATGCGCAAGTGATCGTAGCTCGAGCTCAGCGTGTGCGTCAGCTTGAACAAGTACACTAGGATAGTCGTCGGTTCGAGAGTCTTGAGCGTGTTTTGCACAACATCCGGGTATTGTGAGATGACACGGATGAGGTCAAGCGCGTGCTGCTCAGTAAGGAGGGAGAGGTCTGCGGAAGCAATCTCGGATTCGCTAAGCGCGGCTTTTCGGGTAATGGAGCACAGACGCGCGTGTGCGTATTGGAGGTAGGGACCGGTGTCACCTTCAAAGGCGGTCATGACATCGATGTCAAAGGTGTAGTTGTTGATTCTGATGCATGAGTGTTTAGCATCAGTGGTATGTAAGCGAGTTGGGTGGATGAAGACAGAAGACTTACCGCTTTCCCTTCAAATCCTGGACCATGACTGCGCTAATTCCGAGGACATCGGCTGTCTCGAGAGGTTTTTCAACTTGCTCGTACTTGGCCTGGTTCTTTTGCATAACCTCGTGCATCTTCTCGCCTACATCGCGAAGGATATCGTCCAGGAACTTCACAGTCCCTTTTCGTGTACTCATTCCCAGAATCATGCCGAAGTTGACGTGCTGTACCTTGGCTGCGAGCTCTTTGTAGCCCATCAATTCGATAATCTTGAACAATTGCTTCAAATGTAAATCTTGTTGCGTAGCTACAACGTAGATCATGTGGTCAAATTTGTATTTTTCGTCACGCTGTATCATCTCGCTGATATCTCGAGTGAGGTATAGAGCGGTTCCGTCCTTCTTCTTGATAATCGGGCGCTCGAGACTCTTGCCTGGCTTTCCGGGAATGAGTTTGCTGAAATCGACAATAACGGCTCCTTCGGATACCTCTGAAACGCCCATCTCCTCCATCTTTTTGGCAGCGAAGTCCATCATCTCTTGCTTAACCTGACTCTCGCCAGAGTAATCATCGAAATGGATGTTCAGACGAGCATAAGTCTGCATATATCGCTTGATGCTCAGCTCCCGGAAATGCTTCCATAGCTTGATCGCCTCCTCATCGTTCTCCGTCATAGCCTTGAAGTAGCGACGGGCTTGTTCGTCTATTGTGTTGGTCTTGAGCTCTGTGGTATCCTGACCTGCCTCATCCATCTCCTTGATCTTTTCTGCCTCGTCGCTCTTGTCTTTGTTTATTTGCACGTAGATATTGAAGAGGTGGTTGATTGGGTCGGCCTCTAGAGCCGCCTCGTCGCCGTATTTCTTGTATGCCACAGCCAGTAAGCCGTATTGCTTGCCCCAGTCTCCCAGGTAGTTCACACGGACAACATCCCAGCCAGCACCTTGGTACAGATTTGACAAGAAACCACCAATGATCGTACTGCGAAGATGCCCAGCATGGAATGGTTTCGCAATATTGGGGGAGGAAAATTCGACGATAATTTTCTTCTTTCCTTTGGATGGGTCCTCCGGGTCTTTCAAGCCATTGAATGGATTCAAGCCAAAGGTCTTCGGATTCTTTATGATTGCAGGTATGACTATCTGTGCAAGCTTATCGACTTTGAAGAAGAATTGAATGAAGGTGCCGAAGGTTGTTGGCTTGTGGACAAGAGGTGATTCTGGGAACTAGGCAAGGGTAGGCTATAAGCAAAATGTTTCGCGGACTGGCAGATTACGACCTACCTTTGCAACCCATTCTTCAGCAAGCTCCTGAGGTTTCTTGCCCTTGACTCGCAATGCTGGTACTGGCAGAACCAAATCGCCCTTCTCCAGCGTCTGTGTCCATTGCAGAGCCGGGTACACGATCGAGGCATCCACGCCCGTCACCTCTGTCAAGATGGAAGTGAGATGCGCTCGGTAGATATCGAGCGGGTTGACTTCTGGATAGCAGTTTGGGAGTTTGGGTAATGGCGTTCCAAGGTCCAGAGACTTGAGCTGTTCCGACAGAGTAGACGCTGCGGCCGCCATGTTGCCCGTTTGATTTTGTAACGCGCGGATGTGATTGGGATGACGCGTAGGAAGAGGAGCAAGTCGGTACGGAGATGCGGCTGTAGTACGGAGTTGTCGAAGGAAGCGTGGAAAGTAAGAGAGGGAAGTATTCATAAATAAATAAATACTCGCGAGAGGGTTGGGATGGAGGGGTGGATATTGGAGGGGTTGAAGGAATCACTCACCGAATCCACACCGGAAAGTGTCCACGCTAAATTCTCAAGTCACGTGGTCATGGGACTTTCAACCTAAGGTGCGTATGCTTCTGGACCCACTCTTACTCTTTATCAACAGCAGTGCAATCTCATAAGCTCTCCTTTCACAATCAACTCGATATTCATCCCTCTTCAGTAATCAAAAAAAGATGTTCAAGGCAATATCACATCTTGTCGGCTTTCCTCTCATTCTCATGTCGGCTTTTGATCACTTGTCACTTCTAATGCACGGTTCGTTTATTTTCAAAGTCTTGTTTTCATGATCAAAGCATTGCAACTCCGTAGTATGGATGGATGTTGCTGATATATCCTTTCCGTGTTACGGTACCGCTCAGAATTGCTGTCCATAACTCCATCCCATTCGCTTTACACCGATGCCCAGTCCCGAGATTCCCATTGCTTCTTCACTACAAGCGCGACGACAAGACTTCATGCCAATTAGCCTCTCATTGGAAAAAGAAGGAAGCCCATACCTCTCCAAACATCCGTCCGGCCTCTTTCCGCGGTCTCTTGCAGCCCGCTCAACAGAACAGCTCAGTGTAACTGGCTGACCCTCAAGCTGGAGCAGGGGGGATCGGTTGCCCGTCACTCTTCAATATTCGCAGAAATGCACGTTCGCGCCCAGCTGTGAAGGTTAGCAAGTGCACAGGGGATTCTCACATGGCACTTACAAGGGCGATAATAGGTATTTGACCCGTCTTCGACGATGATAGTACGGCTGTCGATGTACTCAAGGACTCTGGCTACTCCTGCCTGGTGTTCGTCGCAAGAATAGTCCATCTTCATCAAGCTGATTCGGATTTTATAGCGGCCTGGTCTATCGATGACGAGGTCAGGGAAGTAGAAGTATGCCCTGTCCCGCCGGGCGCCCGAGCTACTGGTATCCAAGAGAGGGTGTGCCGAGTCGGCAGCCTTCCCTCCAAGTTGATTGTGCAGATTCTCTCCAGAGTAGCGGATCAGTGTTGCAACAGCCCATGTTTGCGCCAATTCTCCGTATATGTCTGTCTCGCTACTGATGCGAGCTGCTAATGGTGGGTACAAGGGGAGTCCTGGGCGAGTTGTTGGTGGAGGCTCGACAGCGAGACCGAGCATTTTGTCACGGCGACGATATTTCTCGTTGCCTGGCGGCGTCTCTAAGAGAGTATTACTTCCTGTCTTGTGAGATGCGTGGTTTCGAGACTCACGATATGGGGAATATGTAGAAGGTGACATTTGGCTGCGAGTCCTGTGTCCAAGGTTGATATATATAGAGCTATAGAAGGAGGGTATTAGCAGCGTACCAATTATTCAGAAGGCTTTGTCACTTACGATTTTAAGCCGACTTGTGAATCAAGTTAGAGTCGAGGAATTGAGGAGGTTGGAGAAGAAATAGAAGAATTTGATGAGAGATTTCAAGGAATGTTTTTATCCTTTTATATTACTTCCAGACTTATAAGCAATGGACGGATAGCTTGGACAAATGTTCCTTTTCTTTCGTTTCTCACCGCGCATTCTTGAGCCTCAGAAGGTCCGTCGATCCAATCTTCTTGCATAATTTCTTTTTTCAGCACGTTCATGATCGACCGGATGTTTTGGTATGGGGATTCGGGAAGCTATCCGGCGGCAAGGGTCTTTTTGAAAAGCAAAACCGAGATATTTTGGGGCCGCCAGGCCAGGATATTCATATGGTATGTATTAGACATCTTTGCGATTCAGGGAGCCATGACCAGGATTAACGGATCAGTGGCGCCGTCATCCAACCTCTCGGTATATGCCATTTCCTGGCTCGCGTGTCAGCTCTTCAGCTGGTGGTGGGCTCTCCTCCGCCCTCTCTGTGTATTGACCGTTTTGGTGGGATAAGTGTCATTGACTTTGCGACATATCACATAATCGCACCATCGATATTTCCGTGTGTAGTGTTGCAAAGGGGGTCCTTAGCTTGCAGAACCATCGAGTCGGTACGATAAGGCATATATGATCTGTCATACCTCGGGTGTGGCACTCGACCAAAAAAAAAAAAAATTTTTGACAGTCCGAGTAGTTGCAGAATGAGCTAGGTCACTGGCTTCAAATATATAATATAGTATTTATTATACTTCGCTTAACAAAACGGTCGCCCAGGCACCCTCCTTCAATTGCGCGGAAGTACTTCCGGTGCACGTAAGTACCTGTCATTCGTCCCTTCACAAAGGGGAAGGATCTCGCCGAAAATAAGAAGCTTAGCATGAAATTAACGACCCAAGCTTAGGCAGATTCGGGGCTTAGACCCCTAATGCACAACACTCATTCCACTTCATTTTGAGAGACAATCCCACTGCAGGCATTCCTGAGACTCTGAGTAAGCCCGCGCAAAATCCGCCTACTTATCCTGAAGAAGGAATATTTGCGAGTTTTTTCAGCTGGTGAAATACAGGTACTCATAGCAATGGAATCCACATTTCGTCGGTCCGGTGCCCAGCAGAAGGTCTATATACGTCTGGATCACGTGCTGGATCCCGTTTGTTTACTTTCCACTGGCAAGCGACCTCACTCATAGAACCCCCATTCTACCCGATGTAGCCTTTGGTAAAGAACTGTTAGACTTGGATCCATAAGTAGCGGTGACAACTCATGCCATCTTCAGATTATATAGATAATACTTTGGTTCGCTCTTGCCTTATTGAACTGAGACTGGTGGGATGTGCCACAATAAGCACCTGCCAATCGCTCGTTTGACATCAGAAACAACATTTCGTCAAACAAATCCAAGTTGAGGTCGAACACATTTTACACTCGATACATCATCTTTTCGTTATCCTAACGTTTCTCTACAAGCCCTTTCTCGATCCCTTTCCGCCTAGTTACCGCCGCCGAGTCGCCAATAGTGTCATTTGCAACCACATTCGTTATCCCCCACACATTCGGGACGGCCAACAGCGTTCAGCTGTTAATGCAAGCTTCTCGAATGATCTAGTAAGCCGTAGATGGTCTCTTCTGCATCCCTGGCCTCTTCCTGCGTCCTGTCAATACCACGCGCCCAACATTGAACACCCTGCAGGTATGTTCGAGACAAATTCATCATCGACTGATGTGTCCCTAATAAATGGTAGTAGATCTGGTGGCATCATACTGACAGATCGTCAATCCTAAGCTGCAAATCATGGCCCACACAATCGAGCAACCACTGTTGTTTATCATTCTCTTCTCGACCATGGGCCTCACCCTGCTGGTCATCTGCGCATACATGGGGTTCCTGTTCTTCAAGAGGCATATACTTTCGAGGAAAGAAGACGAGGAGATTGAAGAAGCCCATCCCTACGCATGGCGTACAAAGATCTGACCGCCTAGCGGCCCGTGAAGGTACAGCGTCCGGGGATGCAGACAGAGATAATCGTCGGTACCACTACTTCAAATAGCATCCACGCCGGTGATTACTGAAGCCTACATCCTTGCTACGCTGCAGCTCCCCTACCGTTTCGACACTTGTCTATGGACGAGTTACCTGCAAGAATTTGATCGAAATGGGAGGCGGCACAACAGAGAGCTGGATGCAATGACATCGAGCGTGTGCTTACCGCTGCTGACCTGCATACGAAGTTGTAATCGCTAGGCTATGTGGATCTGGTTTGTATGAATATGTTAGGTTTGCGCGGAGCGGGCATTGTCGCAGGCTGAACGGTGTCTCCTTGGGGGAGCGGGCTGTCCCCTCCGCCTGCTTCTAAGTCGTCACATTCTATCGTTGACAGAACAAGAGGTGACTGTTGCAAAGGTGCTTCGATTATTGCATATGGGGTAGCATGATCTTAGATCTGGTGCCGTTAATGTACCCTAGATCCTCGCCGTGGATGATTCGGAGACAAAACTTCAGCTGCTCCTTGAGCCTACAGAACCTTGACAGCCCACCCCCAAGATTGCGAAAGCTCCCATCCGAATATCATAGGAGCCACGTGCCGGCTAAAAACTGGATAAAAGGGAGCGCCTTCGAATCTGGATGTCACACAGAGACTGTCGTCAGAAGGGATGTGGTTCCAAGATGGAAGAATCCCCCACAATCTAAACATCCCAGACAAATCAGGAAGCTCAAAGTGCCGCCAAATGCTTCACACATCGAGCCTTTTGGTGATGTAGATCATTTCCTCAAGATGAGCTGCACGACGGGACAGATGATATTCGAGACATCGCGGCCTCATCTCTCAGCTGCTATAGGATTCTTGGCCCTTGGCCCTCGGGTTTACGAATGCTCGCGACCATCTCATATCTGCTGCTCCTCTGGTCACTTTGCTTCTGCCTGGCGATTCTGATGTCGTGAGAGATGAGTGATATCCTGATGGGGAGACAAAAGATCAGACCGCTTACCCACCTGCCCTCAAACCCACCTTCCTCCCCCCCATCCCCCGGGCGTCAACTGCCAATCACACGGTCCGAGTCTCCGAGGAGCCCTCTCGGGCCGAGGACAGCTACCTCATCCCTACAGCCGATCCCGACCAATTTGTCGGGTCCCGAGGGCCCGAATTTTGTGGATTTTCGGTTTGTCTCGGAGCGTGCTTGTCCGGGCCCCTACATTTACTGAGAACAGCCGAAGGCATCACCCCGGCAATCATTTCCCAACAAAAATGCGAGCGACGGTCAAGAGGGGATACTTTGCGAGATTGGGGGGGAATTCTGCGGGAGTCGAGGTACCAGTGTTCTTCTTTTCGGCCACGGTGTGGTAATGTCCTGATGTTTATGCGCGCTCGCTAATTCGCTGTGTAGCTCGCGTAAAGAAAGACAGACACCCCCCTATTCTGTTTACAAGACAGCACCGTGTCCGCTGAACGTCCAGTAATTGATATGTAAGGTAGGTTAAACCCAGAATGATAAGAAAGAAGTGGTATTGCGAGGTATCCTATATGTATGCATGGCTAGATCTGGGCATGCAAGAAAGAGGGAAAGGAAAGTTCCTGTCTCCCTGCCTGATGATGCCTGCCGGCGGGCAACAATCCTCGTTCCCCTCCCCCTTCAACCCTCCTTTTCTTTTCCACCATCCTTCCCTTAAAATCGCCATTGAAATATAGTCCCTAATTGTCCTGCCAAATTGACGCCTGATTTGTTTCCTGATGAGAAACGTGGCAGGACACGACATGACATGACAATGCGACGCGATCTCATCTTTCACACTCCTCATCTGCTTGCCCCATCACCGACTGCACTCCGCAAAAGGTAGATATCCCCCAGATCTGTTGTACTCCAGACCAGGTAGAGAAGGTAGGAGACCCGACGACGACGACGACGACTCGGAGACTTTCCAAGGCGTGTTTCTAGACCCGTTATTCCCATCCGCCTCCGCCGCCCCAACTTGAACTCGTGGGTCTCTTGATCAGTCGGCCAAGCTCTATTCGTAGCCAGGGGTATTGTTTTTAGTTTTCTCTAGCGTGTTCCGATATCACCAAATGGGAAGAGTTAAAAGCGAGAGGTATCTTTGATTGCGCAGTACGTACACGTCGCGGCCTGCGCTATTCCCGGTAATATGCTGTCGATCGAAAGCAACCAAGAAAAATTCAAAATTTTAAATACACATAAGCCTTGATTTGAAAGTAGGGCCCTTTTTTTATATTTTTTTATCATAGATTTTACAGATTTCCACACAGGTTCTCTCGATTGTTGATGTTCCCAATTAGGAAACAACAGTTTGTGGGAGGGGGGGGGGGGCGGGGAAGGCATCTATTCTAGACTTTGGCGAAAGACAACACAGCTCAGGTAGGACAACATGAAGCAAAAGAAGAATTAAATCGCAGATAACTCAGGTCGAAGCCCTGCATCATGATGGTGGTGGATTGCATACCTTTGCCCAATAATTAATTTATTTTACCAGACAGGTATTGAGAGTGGGTGACTTCGCTCTGCAGACCGCGCGATCGGGTACCACTAGCTGTTTTTGCGATCTTCCTTTGACTGCTCTGGACCGCGCGCGCATCCTCCGAGGTTCTGATGGGGTGAATCAATCCGGGTCGTTGGGGACTTCCGAGACGAGAGGGATTCCAAAAGCTGGCTTGGATTCCAAGTCCAAGGGGGGCAGGGGGGGGCAGGGGCAGGGAGGGAGGGCGACTGTCTTTTTTCTGTTGTACCAGTTCGCGTTTGCGTCGCGTCGCGTCATTTCCAAGCTGTCAAGATGCCTGCCTGCCATGAAGCCGTTACATTTTTTTCACGAGGACTTCACTGGTAGGACACAGACACAGACACAGGACGGGAAGGATTCTGCAACGAGACTCGAGGGATCCATGTGCGCTGCTGCCGCCTGCCGCTTCGATGGGAGGAATGGACCGCAAGGCAAGGCAAGGAATATGCAGGGGCGCGCACGAGTCTACCGCGGAGAGATCGCTACCGACGAGGAGGGTTTTCGATCGTAGCACGGCGATGAGGTTGTACAGGAAAAGCCTCCCCATGATTCTTGGGACCAACCGTTTGCCAGCTGCCACCCGGCTGGCCAAAGTGGACGGGCGCCACCAAGTTTCGGCTCGGGGCCTGATTATCCGTGCAAACCCTGAAGGTTTCCTTTGAAGATTGTACAGAAATATCTTGTCGACTTGGGATTGCGGTGTGTGGATGCGATATATCTGGGGAAGTGATGTATCTGAATGATGATCCGGGGTCTCCCGGATTCAGATGGGTGCCCTTCAGGTCGGGATCTGTTTGAACGGGGTCTAGACATTAGATCGTATTTGGAATGCAAACCCCGGATTGGCTCGTCTCTCCGGGGCGTAAGCGAGAATGAAGAGCGGCAACGATAAGATCTTGAGCCCGTAGTCATGAGTCCGGGAATCGCGAAGTGGATAGTGATAGCTCTGCATTTCCCCTGTCCATGACCAAAATCAAAAGTCTCATTTTGAAGCAGCCTGTCGTACCATTGCAGATGGCGGGGAAATCATGGCTGTCCGGACTTTACTTTTAATATGCACTTCTGTTCCGGCCACTTGGGTGACATAGATCCTGCACTGAACTTGCTTTCAATCCAAGTTTGGGAATTCTTAGCGCCGGCCTGGGAAGGTCCCGGGGGGTCGAGACACCGTTTGGGCTTTTCGCTGATAACTTAGACTACGCTGTGGTGATTTGACTTGATTCTCTGCAAGATGAGTGGCTATAGAGTACTGTTTCCTTGATCTCAAGCTCGGGACTGACTCCTTCTCGTCAAGATTTTTTTGAGAAACTCGATAGCCGTAGACGATGTCACGATGGACACCAGCGAGGAGTCGACCAGATTCGAGATTGTCTATTAGCTCCAGGTCTGTAAAAGTCCAACTAGATGTTGTCGTCGAGCAATTGCGAAATACGAAGTACGAGGTTGAATCAAGCATGTGCTCCAAATCTTGGTCTTATAATGATTCCCTGTCATCATTTGATTAGTTTTCCGCGGTCGTTAACTTTGGTTTGGTTATAGGATAGGCATCAACCATGTCCTCGAGCGAGTTCCTTGAGATATTGTAGCCTCGGCGACGGTCTACAGTTGCGGCGTTTGAGGCAAGATACAAGATAACGAGGATAATCAATTCGTCGAAGAATGTCCTTTAGGTGAAAAGTGGCCTGAATACAGCTGCTGGGAGAGGCTGGATGAGGCCAATAATGTTGTGTTGTGCTCAGAAATGGCGAACAACTCGGGAGTGCAATATTTGAGACTTGAGTCTTCGCAAGATGACTGGGAACATAGGTCAATAAGAATTGGAAAATCAAGTCGTTCCCTTTGCACTTAGCTGTGGAAGTCAAATTCATCGCCAATTCTTGTTGGAATAGAATTTTCGATAAATCGAAGCTGGCGGACGACCCTGCCATCTTATGATCACTCATAAGGCATATTAAGCTCAATATCAGATTGAGGAAGCACTACCCCCGATGCAGCTCCTTGGACCAGGTATGTTGGGACTCAATACCTTCTCAGCCCTAGCTTCTGCTAAGCATGTAAGGTAGGTATTAAGAAGGCCGAGGCTTGCGGTATATATGCGGAGTACCTACCCTGGCCTTCTCTCATATGCGATTCTGCGTTCTGGCCCACATGTTATTCGCAGCAACCACAAGCACAACGGGGACTCGGCATGGCCTTATGTGAGCTTCGATTGCCACCCTGGGAAGACCAGGGCGTCAGGGCTATCCGGTGGTGGCGATCAAAGGAAAAACATGACCTAGCGAACTCCATCTCCTCGAGGTCGTGGCTTTGCATCAAAAGAGTTCCGATTAGCAGTACGCAATCAATTGCTGTCCAAAGAATTGAGAGAGCTGAGTAGATTTGGCGACATTCCGAGCGGAGAAGATTGAGGTATATCCCTCGCATCTCATCGAGTCAGTTCTCTATTAGCGGGCGGAAGAACATGAATGGAATATAAGAGACAGAAGTTTGAGAGAAAGAAGAGGCGCGGGTTGTGGACGGCATCATGGATGGTATGGGGTATATGTTCTTCGTCTCTCGCCAAGTTGAGGTCTTTTGTTGCCGTCCCGTCTTCGCACTTCAGATCCGGTATGCTGAGGTGAGGTCCTCTCGCCGTCGGTATAATCGACTTTGAAAATTGCTTATCGACACATGGCTGCTCCTCGCGGTCGTCACAGAGTCTCACCCCAAAATCCTTCCAGCAGCGAAAAATATGGCTTCGGCGAAGGCAGAATTGATAGCGCACCTTCGATACCACCAGATCGACGGACAGATGCTGGCTGGGGATTCCATGTTGGTAGCTGGAATCCTGAGCTTCATCTCGGATTGTCAAAAGTGCTTTGATATTCTCCCAAGCTTTGGTTTAGGATACCAGGGACCCGAATATAGAGCCGCAGAGGCATCGAGGGAGGCAGGACCCGAAGAGAAAAAACTTGTGTTGAATTTAGGACGGAGTAAACTGATGGTGCTCAAGTAACCAAGAACTCCTAGGCCAGGAAATTGCATCGATATTCGGCTTCCAGTCATCTACCTGAGAGGCAGGGCTTGCTCAAGTTGTCTAATTCACAGCTTCCATTTTCCAGACAGCTGACTTTCTCGTGCAGACGAGCTCATGAGCCCGTCCATGTGGCAAGGGGGAACTTTAAGCTTTAAAAGGGTTCTCAAATGTAATTCTCCAAACCCTGCTCTTGACCCATACAGCGTTCGAAAGTCCGGTGAACCTTTCTCAATGAAGATGGCCACTGGAGTAGAAGATTGAGGCAGACTCGAACCTGGAATACATATGAATTCATTTAGCAAGCGAGTTTGCAATGTCGTGGTCGTAGGCGATGTAACATGGAACACTGTCAGAGTTCAGTAAGCGCAGGATGGTTCTGAGAAGGAGGATGCACGCACTGAAAGAACGTATTCGCCTGCTATGATTTAAATCACAACCAAGTTACCAGATCAACCAGTATGATTTTGGAGTGGCAGCAAGAGAAGAAAGTAGGAAGAATCGCTTGTAGACTCGAGCATTTGTACAGAGCTCTTGGCAGCATGGCTCTCATGGCGCTCCATTTCATGAGGCTAATAAATAAACCTATAATAGAGAAGGATAGGTACATTTACACCCCAACCGTAGCAGATCATTTGCAAAAGACAAGGTCATGATCCTGGGGGGCTTGGCAACGGACGAGGGACTGCTGCATAGTCTGGACATAGAGAATCTATATGTTTGAAAGGAGTTCAGACCTGCTTGAAATATGGATCATGGATGGGCGACGGCAGAGTCCAAGAAGCTCATAGGTATTCACAGCATGTTGGTGAATGGTTTGGAATATAAGGCTACACATGATTCATGCTTAGAGCCAGATAGCATACAACAGTGAAAGGGAACTTGCCTGTCTGTATCAGATCTGGGCAAGACGACAATGAAATTCCAAGACAAAAAATAACTCAAACAGCAACACAAGAAAGAACAGTAGTGCAAGGTTCACTAAGGATGCACATGAAAGATAGCATCTGACTCTGAGCCCTGAGCTCTGAGCTCTGAGCCCTGAATCCTGAATCAAGCACACGGGCACGTACGTGCAGACATCGCACATGGATAAGTAGTAGGTAGTAAATCAATTCAAGCCGTCGCAAAGTGAAAGGAAAGAACACAAACCGGCTTAAGACTGCCACTTGACACGAAAACCATGAACCTCATCGTCGTTACTCCTGTACTTTGGTGTTAACGAGTTTAGGTCCCTATTGCCAGATTGATTACCTTATCATCGGCCGCCGGCCGCCGGGCTCCGCTTCGACGACGTTTTCCGCTTAAATTTCGGGCTTGTGGGTCCCGAAAAGTGGAAAGTGAATACAGTAGCGGCTTCAGGAACGACCGATCTCGCGTTTCTCCAAACCCCGATCTATCACGACAACCTCTACTTGACCACTACTACATTCTATCGGAGTCGACGACGACGACGACGCTGGCAGCAAACAACAGCAGCAACAACAACAACACCAAAAACAACAACAATAACAACGAACTGACGACTTCGATGTTGCAAAGCCCCCAAAACCGTCTCATAGAAAGCGCGCAGCCTGTCTAACAGCCTTGCATCCACCCCCTATCCGGAACTTCCACTCCTGTCTCGCCCTCTTGCCTCCGCCCACCCTCCACTGCTTCAGAGCTGCACAGGCAGCTCACCGGCAAGACGTCGTCAATAAAGAAAAGAAAGCTCTCGCCCCAGACCCCCCAGAGCCAGAGCCAGGGCTCCGATAACAACCCCGATATCCCACTCAAGAGCGTTGAGGATACTGACTGCGCAAACGACCCCCCGCGATTCGAGATCCCCAGCGATACCAATCCTTCCCCATACATACCTTCACATCTGCAGACAACCTCATCGGTGGGTAAATCCGACCCTACCTCCTCCGTGGCGAGCTCTCCAAGCGCGGCCTACGCTGGTCTCTCGCTGGAGAGTGAGATCGAACCATCAGCTTCAGCCCGTACCTCGCTCGCACCAAACGAACAAGACACGAAAGCACAGTCTCCTAAACGCCATTTCTCACACAGAGCTATCATGGGGGGAGCCGCTGATCTTCCGCAAAGATCCTCGTCGCCTTTGAAACGACGGGCATCAGATCTAGAGACAGACGCCTCGTCAAGTCAAAAGGACGATGTCGATATGGTCCAGGTACCCCCTTCGGATCCAACAGAAGTAGATGAGCTCTCGATATCCTCCAGAACAAGGACTCATTCGGTCGATGCGCTGGCAAACGGGGTTGAGGTTAATGTCGCAGCTCTGCCCGCCGCAGAGCAACAAATCAGCCCTGCTCGCAGAAGTACTGGTATGTAACGTCATTTGTAAAGTCTTGGGAGAATTTTGGATGCTAATATCTTGCTTCAGACATTCCTCCAATCGAATCCCAAATCACGACAATTACGACCCTTATAAAGGCAGAGGACGAAAAGCAATTGAAGGAGGGCGATGTTACATATCTGGTCTCAAACCTATGGTTGAACCGGGTCATTTCCAGAGGTGCAGAGGCTAGGCAGAAGAGTAAAGTGGAGCCTGAAGGTGAAATCGGACCCATCGATAACTCGGACATAATCCAGCAAACTCTTACGGACAGCGCTGGAGTAGAATTTGTACAACTCAAGCGCGGACTTGTAGCATTGGCAGACTACACATACTTTACCGTGGATGCCTGGACTCTGGTGGTTGAATGGTACGGTCTTACGCCAGGATCTATACCAATCAGACGCGTGGCCCACAACACCAGCCCCAAGGGTTCTCCCGAGAACATACAGTTCGAAATCTACCCTCCTGTGTTTACCATCCACCGCTTGTACGGTGATCATACGAACATTAAAATCCCGAATGAAATTAAGGACATGGATCCTGCTGCGCCCGTTTACGTGCTCAGCACATCCACCAGCTGTGTTGAGTTTCTGAAGACTATTAAGACGAAAGCGGGAATTGAGCACGAGAAGAAGGTCCGTCTTTGGAGAGTTCCGAGGCTGCAGCCAGCTGCAAATCCAATCCCTGCGACTTCCATTGCAGCGACGACGCCACCGACCTCAGAACCTAGTTCTCCGACTGGAGTGTTAATGGGCCCAGAGACACGTGCACCGCAAGATTCCTGGAAGCTCTTGGTTGATGTGGCCACTTTCTTGAAGCTTGAGAAGGGTGTGCAAAGAGAACTTATTGGATTCGATGATCATTCAGCAAATGCCAAGTACAACGGCAGCAGCACTCTGGCTATGAATGGGCTTGCTGCCGACGATAACATCGTCTTGGACGAGAAAACAGACGGCCAATCTGACACCTTCGTCTCAACTTATACGCAGGGTGGCAAAGCAAACTCGACGACTCTCGCCGGTAATTCGAGCTCGAGCTATATCGGACCCAGCAGCCAGTCAAACAGCGGTCGTAACAGCCCTGCCCTATCTGGCCCAATAACTCGAGGTCGAGCTCAAAAATCTGGATCTAGAAAGCCGCCTGGCACCATCGGTCTGGCCAACCTGGGAAACACATGCTACATGAATTCGGCATTACAATGTGTCCGCAGTGTTGAGGAATTGACGAAATACTTCTTGACTGGTCATGGCAAGGAAGAAATCAACCCACACAACCCGTTGGGAAACAATGGAAACGTTGCTCGGGCATACGGGGATTTGCTGGCACAGTTCTATAACGACAGTGGATCCAGTGCGGTCCGCCCCGTAAATTTCAAGAACACCATTGGAAAGTACGCACCATCCTTCTCTGGTTACGGTCAACAGGACTCTCAAGAATTCCTTGGCTTCCTTTTGGATGGCCTGCAAGAGGATCTGAGCCGCGTTCTTAAAAAGCCATACATCGAGAAGCCCGATTCAACCGACGAGATGGTCAATAACCCTGAGGCAATCCGGGAAATGGCTGCGAAGGTCTGGGATATCACAAAGCAACGCGACGACTCTGTCATCGCCGATCTCTTCACCGGAATGTACAAGTCAACACTTGTGTGCCCTTCATGTAATAAGATCAGCATTACTTTTGATCCCTTCAACAACTTGACTTTGCAACTACCGATTGAGAGTCGTTGGAGCCACCAAGTTTATTACTTCCCTTTGAATGACAAGCCCATCCTTGTCACAATCGACATTGACAAGAACGCAAGTATTGGTTCCTTGAAAGACTTCGTTTCCAAGCGCGTTGGCGTGCCGGCTGATCGACTGTTTGTTTGCGAGGAATACAAGAGTAAATTCTACACATTCTACAAGGATCTCGCAGTAGCTTCTGAAAAGATCGGTACCAATGATCACGTTGCGGTATACGAACTCGAAGCCAAGCCGACGAATTGGCCCCCTCGAGCTGCAAAGAAGTTGCAGGCCAAGTCATTCGGCAACGAGTCCGACGCCGAAGACGAGATCCCGCCTTGGGATGACCCGATGGCAGAACGCATGCTCGTACCTGTCTTCCATCGTGTCCCAAACAGCCGAGGATTTAGTGGCAAACCTGCATGGGAAGTCACATGCACTCCTCATTTTATTATGCTAACTCCAGACGAGGTAAGATAACTATAAACTCGTGGTCCTAGACCTTTGCTGATGTATTGGATCTCAGGCTCGGAGCGAAGACATGGTCAAGCGAAAAATATTGGAGAAGATTTCGACATTGACAACATCTTCACAATTTCTTGATATGGATGTCGACGCCAGTGTTTCTGACTGCTTGGACCCCGATATAGTGCTCACCACTGGCTCTGACGCTGATTCTTCAGGAGGCAGCAAAGTTGTAGCCAGTTCTGTTGATGGAGATGACGAGATTGTAGATGTTTCGATGAAAGATGCCGCTGCCGCTCCTGGCCCATTAGGAAAATTCAATACGCGCCGACCAAAGTTCATCTTGCCAGATTCGCATCTGAATCCTTCGTTGCAAAACATGTTCGAGATTGGGTATTTTGGAACCCGAAAGAATCTGATCAACACAGGCTGGCAAATCGTGACCGAAAACAAGGTCTTTCCAAAGATCAGTTCGCGCAGTCCGCAACCTCAAGCCGACGACGGTTCAGTGAGTGGTTACGAGGGTAGTCGCACCAGCTCCGAGAATCCCGAAGACAGTGTTGTGAATAGCGGTCCTGCAAAAGTGACACGGATGAATGACGAGAGCGAAAGCGAAGAGGACGCCACGCCTAAGGATATCTCTCGAGTCAAAGTAAGTTGCACATTCCTGCTTCCCTAAAGTCAACTTTCCAATACTATAGCACAACACAAAAACCCTCCACCCTCTAGTAGCTATGAACCAGGTAATCTGACTGAAGACTAGGTTCTTCCTGTCCGATCGAGAGTAGGTTCTACTAGGGGTCGCAAATCCAAGCTTAAAACTTACTCAAAGAAGGGCAACAAGCGAATGGCACGAAAAGCTAAACCAGAGCAGACAATTTTTGACGACGACGAAGACTCTGCTGACGGTGGTCCTTTGGTCCGTCTTGGTGAAGGCCTTGTCGTTGACTGGGTGCCTGAAGCATGGGATGCTTTGTTCTGCGGAGATTCTTCTGACGACATCCGAGGTATTCCAACGTGGCAAAATGTACCTACCTTGGAGGACTCCGAGCTACAGGCCCTCAAATCATACCGGATGAAGCGAAAAAAGAACGGCATAACTCTGGAAGACTGTCTCGATGAGTTCGGCAAAGAGGAAATTTTGTCGGAGTCGGACACATGGTACTGCCCGCGATGCAAGGAGCACAAGCGAGCTAGCAAGAAGTTCGAGCTGTGGAAGACACCAGATATCCTTATTATGCACCTCAAGCGTTTCAGCTCTAGTGGATGGCGTCGAGATAAGCTTGATGTTCTAGTCGACTTTCCCTTGACAGATCTGGACCTTAGCTCAAGAGTTATTGAGTCTGAAGATGGTAAGCAAGAGATATACGATCTGTTTGCTGTTGATGATCATTGGGGCGGACTTGGTGGTGGCCACTATACTGCTTTTGCCAAAAACTACGACGACCAGCAATGGTACGAATACAATGGTAAGATGTTCTCGACAATCTCCAAGCGGTGGTTCTCGTTACTAACGTGTCTAGATTCTTCGGTAACGAAAGTGACGGATTTATCAAGAATTGTTTCTTCGAGTGCCTATCTACTCTTCTATCGACGACGATCGGATGTGCCACTTGGAGGTCCAAGATTCAAGCAGATCCTGCATGAATATAATAGCTCCCGTCAAAGTTCAGAAGATCAATATTCAGAGTCGGGGGAAGGCAAGGGCCTCGTCGGAAACTCCTCCCCACGTGGATCGTCGAGCGCTTGGTTCGGAGTAGGAGCAGCTCGCCCTCAACTAAATCCTGGTTCCAGCAGTGGCGAGGAAATGATGACAATAAATCCCTCGGACCTTGAGTCGGGGCTGCCACCCGCCTACGAGGAAGATGAGGCTATATCACTTGTCCCGAGTGTCGAGAAGGACGACTCCGGATATAGCACTCGGCCAACCTGGGGCTTCGGCGGATTGAACTCGGAAACGGAAGGATATGTCTTGGGAGCTAATTCTCGTCAAATCGTCTCTGGTGCAGGATCAGATGCAGGCGATGCAGGCAGTGATGTAGCCGAGCACAATTCTTCGGCTAGCGACAGCTCATTGATCCAGCGAAAGCGTGACCTCGCGTCTTCCGAGGCTTTCGATGAAGACTTCGAGCAAGCATTCGTACCAGATATGACTGAGGAGCAGGAAGCCGCCTCTTACGATCTACGCTCCGAGGTCGTCGAACATGTCCATGGCAAGGTTCTATACAGACGCACCCTTTCGAACGGAGGTAATGTGGAGCATTTTGAAGAAGTCGACGAACCGGTAGTCGAGATCCACGTCACTGACAACGATGACCTGAACATCGAATGAGGGGTGGATGGAGTTTGTATTTTGGTGTCCTCGTGATATCGACGGGGGACGGAGTAGCGGCTGGAGTTGTGGATGGGTAGTGGAATTGGTGATGATGATGCATAAGCAGAATTGGTTTTTGCCCGCAAGGAAGCCGGCTCGCTGCCATTTCTTCCTTTTTTTTTTCTGGCTGGCGTGACCGGGCTTTGCCGAACCAGATGGAAGGCAGACTCAAAAGGAGATATGATTTACGAATGCATCACACGTGTGGGTAGGATCGTTGGCAAATATCAACGAATGATCTTCGGCGTGGGGTGGTGCACGAGCTGTTGGTATGTACCATGGTTAATGAAATGTACCTATTGACAGCCGAAAACCCCGAAGAAAGAAGCCCTTTAGTAAAGTAATCCGTGATCCTGCTGTTTGCTGTTTACTGTTGGCCATGATGATGATGGGGCTGGCAAGAAAGCAAAGCAAAGCAACAACAACATCTTCTTCACTCACCCCCCTAGGATTGTCGGTCAACTTACTCACTCATTAAATTGATCGATTCATGGGAAACGAACGTGTAATCAAACCTCCCTACCTCTACCTCCTCTTCTTGCTAATGCTTAATGATTAATGTGAGCCGAGAAAAAAAAAAAAAAAGAAAAGAAAAGAAACCCTACCCCCCCCCCCCCCCCAAAAAAAAACTTGGAATGGTGTTTTGTTTCTTTCTTGCTTGCCTGCCCTCTTTAAAGCCTCCTTCCCCCTTCCCCCTTCCCACCCCCGTAACCCTAATTTCTGCTCAACTCAACTCAACCCAACTCAACTCCAACTTCAACTCCAACTCCCGCTCCCCGGGGTCAGATTTGAGTCGCTAGAAGGCAAGCACTCATAACAGCTCGCTCATAGCTCAATCGCACATACATACAAACAAACATACCTACAAATACACAAACAAACAAACGAACAAGCAAACAAACCAACCCTACCAGCAATATAACTTACAAAACTCTGCCACCACTCATTCACTCGCTCACTCACTCACTCGCTCGCTCGCTCGCTACCTACCTAGCCTGCCTCTCTTTGAATCTGACTTACCTGAAATAAATAGAAGAAAAGGGCCGAGTCGCAAAGTATGGCAGCCCCAAGGCAACCCAACCCCTTATTCAGGAAGCTTACCCTAGGTACCCGCCCTTCAGAATTCGCTGTTCCCTCTCTCTCTCGCTAAGCCAAACCAAAACCGAGAGCTAGTAAAAGGGTTCATTTCTTATCTAGATGAGCCTATGTTTCCTATCTAGATTCTGGGTCGGGTATCTACAACCATTACCGAATTTCGCGCCACCACCACACCACCGGAAAGTTTCTCTTGTGATCTACCTGGTTCATCTCCCCCGCCCTCCCTCCAAAGCTTCGATCCTATTCGAAGCCCAAGATCTCGATTCCAGCAATGGCGCCCTGAGCTTTCAACCCTAGCTTGAAAAGAGACGCAAGCGGGCATGCGCTCTAACGGTCATGTCACGCCCCCCGGTCCCGTCAAGACTATGCACGCACGTATTGCTTTTGTTGATAAAATATCGAAGGAAGGGATTTACTAGAATACAGAGCACCACCTCACAACTTCGAGTCCAGCTCCTCGAACTCGGAAATGTGCTTCACGGGTTGCGGGCCAGGGCTGATTTGCATCCTCGACTTGAACTCGCGGACATCGGTAATGACGTATGGAGTCGTGCCGTTGCCTTCTGGCTTCACCTCGATGGCCTCACCGTCCTCTTCATCCTTGTGGTCTTTGTTGAGACCGAGAACTTTCGTGCTCTTCTCGACGCCGGCAACAGCCGAAGTATCGGTAGAGACTGGGGTCTGAGCGTTCAAATGGATCACAAGTTTGGATCGCAGCGGCGAAGATGGAAGAATGTAATGGTTGTAAAATTCAATCATGTCGGCTTTGGTAAGCAGCTTGACATTGGCGGCGTCCTCGTGAACTACAGAATATGTCAGTAAGCGCGTAAAAAATTCCATTGACGAGAGAAGGACTTACCGAGCGCGAAATCAAGATACTCGCTTTCGATGTGCGACCAAAGTCTAGTTGATTCTTGATCCAAGTTCTTCAGCTTCTCCAATCGCTTCGTGATCAGACTTCTCTTATGGCCTTCAAATTCACTCTCAGACATCTTCTCAAGCGTCTCCTTGTATCCATTAAGGAAGAAGTCAATTCTGGATTCCAAATAACTCGCAGTCTTCTCGCTCTGGATGATGAACCGATAGCCGATCGTTGTTACAGAACTACGAGCACCACTGAAGACAACGTATCCAAGTTGCTCCTTCGTCCGCAGCTGGTCGAAAGCCGGCTCGTGGGTCATCTGGTCAAGGAGGAGTGTCTTAGCTCTCAACGGACGCAAAGACTTCTGTCCGACGAACAACAAATATTCAATGCAGTGATTGACGTTGGCTGGGTCCTTGAGCGTCTTGTAGTAGATGTAGTTGCCGCCTGGTGGAAAGACCAACGCCCGAGAAATAGGCCACTGAGTTTGGGGAAGAGTTCTTGGCTTCAAGGTGGATTCGATGAGGTTGCTTAGCTTCAGCGCATCCTCCTTGTACAAGTTTCCATGTACAAAGGTCTCGATGTGCATTTGTCGCAAGAGCTCTGGATAGAATTGTTGAATGTCGGCTGCCGTGAGATGATTGAGCTCTACAAGAACCTGCTCGTTGATGTAGCCTTTCTCGCTATTGAGCCATCTGGTGTAATCTCCGACTTGATTATAGGGCTGTTGATAGTCCCAGTTCTTGAGACCTCGTAGCAGACGCTCTTTGATAATCTCAAATCGACCCGGCTTAACTTCCAGGTCTCTCATGGTGACAAGAACCTTCTCTAAGAGAACAGACAGCTTGTCATTGTATCCAGAAACCGCAATCTCGATGCCCGAAGCCTGGGCTGAGACCGAATAGTCGAGACCGGCAAGCTCCGCATCGTAAGAATACTCCTCTAACGCATCGCGGACCATATCTGTGTAGAGTCTAGACTTCAGCGTGTTCTCTGCCGTCGCTGCGGGTAAAGTATTTCTGCAGTTGATAAACAGGTTGGCTTTAGGGACCCAGAACTGGTCATCCTTCTTGTACCATGTTCGCACCAGTTCGTCACTTCTGATAAGCTTTGGCGCGATGGCAGGAGTTTTCACCTCTTTCTTTTCTACCTCGAGCTTCGTCGGGATAAATTGGTTCTTGTGAGGAAGGTGCAGTTCTGCTAAGCGATCTTTCGGAGTTCTGGTAGCGGCATGTTTGATCTCCTCTAGGAAATCCGCCGGGATCTTCTCGTACGTGTACTCGGTCCCGTACCACTTCTCCTTTTCTTTCCATGTACCAGGGAATTTCTGTGACACGACGCTCATACGGAAGTTATCGGGTCTCAGGCACGCAAGCCCCTCTTGGATAATCGCAGGATCAAACTTGCGCAGTCTAATTCACGAGTCAGGGTCTTGCATCAGTGACCAGAATCCCAGGCTGATACCGTAGCCCGGGGAGACTCACCTGCTGTGTCCGCTCAGAAGCCATTCCCGAGGGAGTGGTGACTGCATGACTGCGCTTATCTTACTGGTGAACCGGCTGGCTGGCGTCTTTTGCTTGAACTTAAAATCCACATCTGCGAGACCTTTTTGCTCCTCGAAAATCCATTCTTGAGGTGGTGTCTCTCGCAAGAGAGAAACGTATTGGAAGAAAACCTTTACAATCTCCTTGTAGTTTTTCAGGCCATCCTCTGTCAGGCGAATTTGGCAGTTGAAGATGCCTGGGGTGCCAGGGCAGACTGAGTATGCACCTGCGGAAGTAACATCAGTGTCATGAGCTCCACAATATGTAAAATTCGTGGTCACGAATAAACGCTTGACGCTAAAGAGGTCCCTGACTCGATTTTGAGGATCGGCCCGGTCGCCGCGGAAGCTCTTGCAAAAGGGAACTCGAACATACCTGCACTCAAACCATTGGCCCAACCCTTGGACTTGATGAAAGACATGATGCTTCCAGGTCCTTCGTGACCGATCAAGTGACTGATATAACGGCTTGGTTGCGACTCGAACAGCATCTCTTCATCAATGAAAGGGAACGACAGATCCAAATTTCTCGAGTCCATGACTGGCTTGGCGAAGCATTGGGTCAAGAGATCCTTTTCACCAAATGGCTTCTCATCTTCCCAGCGGTTCTGGGGCAAATCTTTATTTCGGACGCCCGCAAAGAGATCTGCAGTCCAGCCTTCCAATACATCCAAGGATTCTCTTCCTAGAACGACCAACTTCATTCTGTTGGCAGAATAATGCTTTGCGTGGAAATCCATGAACTTCTGTCTGACGTCAACCCCCCGTGCCTCTGGTTGTGTCTTCAAGACCTCAAAATTTCCAGTCGAGAAATGGCAATATGGGTGCTTGGGGTTCGAAAGAGACTTTTCCAGCTGATGTAAACGCCACTGATCGCTCTGCAGGTTCTTCTTGTTCTCAGAGTCTACTGCGCGCAGTTCTCGGTCCAGGGTAGAAGAGAGGAAGAGGGGGTCGATGAAAAACTGCGCAAATCTGTCGAGTGCACCGAACAACGGAGACAATTCCTCAGCCGCATCGTCTTCTCCCTTCTTCGCAGCCACCTCGAAATAGTAGTTTGTAGATGTAGCACCGGTATATGCGTTCGAGCTTCCAGAGTGGGCGGAGAGGTATTGGGAGTAGGCATTCTCGACTGGGTACTGCAAGTAAATTAGCATTTGCTTGAGGCTATTCGATCAGACCAATGGCTTTGCGTAGAGAAGCCGAGTTGAGGGTGCTTTGAGCTGCTATTGAACGTGCAAGGTTTGGCTTGACAAGCCAATGGAAGCTTATATAAGCTCACCTTCTTAGTTCCCATGAAAAGTAAATGTCTGCCATATATTAGCGACTGTCTCCAGAAGATAATACTCAGGTTTACTTACTCTACAGCGTGAGCCATGCCCGGAAAGTCATCCTCGTCACTGAAGTTGCCGACATTGACATCCATGGCGGCCGAAGCCTTATCCGTTTCTGCATCGTGGACCAGGAGCACCTCGAGTTTGTTCGGCAGACGCACAACTCTATAGCTGCGATCATCGAGAGATGGAGTCTCCAGACTGTCCGTAAGCCTCTCGATGGGCCTAGGTTTATGCTCCTTTAAGGGGCCATCGCCATGCGGCGGAGCGGAGGATTCGGACTGGCTAAGAGTCGACATGGCTGTAGATTGTTGTTGCAAGGAGAACAAGCCGCAGAGAAGTCGAAGTTTGGAGGCAGCGGCTTGACGGTGTATTGTTGGAGAGAGAGTTGAGTGAGCTGGGAGAGCTGCGAAGGGTCGTGAGAAAGAAGCCCCGCCTAGCTTGGGTGGGGCAGTCCGGGGGAGGGTCTGAGCGTCGACGACAACCCGGGGTTTGTTGTCGTCGTCGATGTGGTTGATAGTGTTGTAACGAGCCGATCTATTTGTATGGCTGCTCGGCGTTTCGGTGAGATATCCATGCACGTGCAGACGCGGACGCAGAGAACAGGCAGAGGTGGTCAAGGTAGCAGCTTTGCGTTGCTGTTGTCCCAGTCGTTGTCCTCTCAGTCCTCTCACAGCAGTAGCAGCGAGAAATTGATGGCAGGTCGCAGGGAATCCGAATCCAAATCCGAATCCGAAGCAGGTGACGATAACAAATTTGCTGGGTCTGATCATCGAGCAAGGTAAGGGGGTAAGTGAAGAGGGAGGGAGTGAATGATAAGCTGAATGGATATACCGGTAGCCACAGTAGAGGCGCAAGGAAGACCATTCCCAGCAGAGGGATTTACGTCAAGTAAATAAGTGGGATTCGCTGCAAGGCTAGTTGGTGTCGACGACTTATTATCAAGCCACTGGGTTCATGCGGAGCATACTCCGTTCATACAGAAAAGAACGGTGTATAAATGTATGTATGCGTCATATACGTAGTAGGTACTACGTACCTACGCAGGTGGTGAAAGTAACGTACTGGTAAGGGCTCATGTAACGCAATGCCATGCAATGCACCCGTAGGCGTATTGTTTTATACGCCTGCCTTGGTCTTCCAAATAAGGTAAGTTATAAGGATCCCTGAACAACCTAAGGATACTACATCCACATCCATTATATCCTGACTTCAAGCTGCAAAAGCCATATCCTCAAAAGCCAAAATGAGGTTCAACAATGGGAGATAGCAGCAAATATAGTCCAATATACAGAGTAATCGACGTATCAAAGTGAGGGAAGAGAGAAGGCAAGATAAGGTTACAAGATGCATCTTCTCGATAAGCGTCAAGAAAAGTAAAAACAAGAGGAATCCAAGTCTCGTCATCACAACAAGATTTACTTTAACGTACATTCCATGTAGTACGTACGAACTTTCGATCCAGCCCAACCTAAACCAGCTTGCACATTTCTAAACATAGCGCCGTACCCGTTCAAAAATATCCAGCAGAAAATACAAGTACTACGTAAGTAAAGTACCCGAGTGTCTGAGGATAGGTACGGTTTATGTAAACAAGTCTGCCGAAACATGTTATAAATGATATCTACATTTTGATAAGGTACTATTCATCCTTACCGATCTGAGAAAAGAAGGCGTTAGAAAGCGACTCGGAATTTCAATGCTATTGCTCTAAATTGGAAAGGGGGGATTGCTAAAAGTTTAAACAGCTCCCTCTCCTCTCCCGCTCTTGACCAAAAGCAGAACCTAATCGTCGTGAAAGGACGAAATGGAGGCCAATCTAAGCGAGCTGACGATCAAGATGCATTAAGGTTTCTAGAGAACGTTCGTCTTTCTAATCTTTTCTTCCAAGACTTTAAACAATCATTCAAATCTCATATCATCAGCTTATGTATTACATCACATTAACAAAGCCTTCAAAAAACCTGCCACTTGTAAAAAATTACAAAACCAAACCAAATTTTGCTTCGAATCAAAAAGGAGGGCAGATGCACTCGACTACTTACACTGCAGCAGCATCACCCAGCATCACGCATATACCTTTCAAAACAAAATCCAAAATGTAAGCGAGAATTATCTATCTTATAGGTGCCCTATTTATACCATCCAAATACCAAAGAACGTAGTTAAATCGAAGCGCTACTTATCTAATCATAAGTAATATATATCCATATCTAGATAATCCCGAACAAGATACCCTCCCTTTATCGATATAAACAGAACGGAATGCTCGCCTCGTTCTCGAAACTTTCAACCACATTCAGTTTTCAATTAGGTAGAGCAATCAGTCAATCTACTAATGTAGCAATGCCACCTCTCCAAAAAATGAAAGTACAACTATGTGAGCGTAACGCTCTCTTGCACTTCGAAGCGGTATTATCGAGAACGACGGTGATTTGCTGAGGGGGAGAAAGTTTATTGGTAAGCTCTGCTGCGCTCTCGTAACGGCCACCTCTTGACTCGTAAAGTCCTTGTCCGCTTTAATCTATTCTGGGCAGAGATTTTCTGGTCAAGGTATAGTGCCCTTCTCCACCAGGTATCACATGATGGGCCGTTTCGGTATCAGTGGCACGAAGTGACCTGGATGTTAGAGGACGAGTGTATTAGGGTTGTATGTGCTGGTTTCGTGGAAAGTGGTGCAGAAAGATCCGGATATTGATTACATTCTCACAATCTGGAATTGATTGCAGGTCGTACTGGACACGGTCCTGCGCGTACTAACGCCCCAAAGTATGCAGCCCAAACTCCAACGCTATGCAACGCTATGCAACGCGTGCAAGTAGAAAGAAAAAGACAATCAGAAAACCGTTACACTTTCCAAAGTATGAGTAACCTGTGGTACCAGATGAGCAATCTGATTTGGTTCTCGGAGAGCAGTTGCGAGATTGCTAGGAGGCGTGCCCGAAGATAGTAGGCTCTGGCACGAGGTTCAGTGAGAGCTTACTACAGGGGCACTTCATTCACGCTTACCTGGCTGACTTGGTCAAACTTCTCCTCCTTCTCGGTATAGTCTCTAATGATCTTGCCAGTATTAAAGTCGACATAGATCCTGGTATCTCGGATTCGCACCAGAACCTTGTCCAGTCTCATGAACAGTCGACATAGCAGCAACATACGATCCGGCATGACCCTCAGCTTACAGGAAAAGATTGAAATGCCGTTATCGTCCAGTTCGCTCTCGTAAAGAACCACTTCCTCAAAGAACAAAATTGGGTCGGGCCGCTTCAGTAGCTCGATTGGAATCGGCTCTGAGTTTGGCTCGAATAGCTTTCCCTTGGTAACGGTTCCCTTGTAGTCCGTTGTGTACGACCAGTCGAACGGCTTCACCACCTCTTTGATACCTTCGTGGGTTTTCTCTCTACCAGAGCGTAAGCCGCTGCTTTACAACTGGTTGGATATGGAATATACCTGCTACTCGACCACTCCTTCGAGTAGGCAACCTTCAACATGGTCTTGTCCGTCTTGTCCACGCGATCCAGCGCATCATACGCGTTGAACTCCAACCGCCATCCACTTGCCACATGCTCAATCGATACTATGTTATCCCCAAAGATCATCTCGGGGACCGGAATGCAGAGAGCCTTGGACATCTCATCGATGGGGCCAGATTTCGAGATGGGCAGTTTGCGCGCGCTGATCTTGAAGCCCTTATGTAGATACGACACAGTTGAGCTCTCTTTGTCATCTGGTGTGGGGTACACTTCGTTGATCGCGCCGTTGAGAGCCATAATGCCTTTGATAGCCAGGTGTGTTGTCGTCGTCGCGATGGCAGCGTTGAATTGGTTTGGTGGGGGTAGCGGGGTTAGAGCTCTGGAGTCGGGTCAGCTCGTGGTTGCCGTGTCGACCAGCTAGCGTCCTGTCTCAAAACATTGGCATTGGCAGGCGCAATTCGTTCCAAAACATCCCACATCAATGTTCAACGTTCAATTCTCCCTACCATAACAAACAGTACAAATCCCCTTATTGAATGCCTGGTCAAATACTACCGGAGAAGCACTGGCCCCGTTGAATTGGTACTTATCCCTCCAAGATGTCAACCCGCGTCCTCGAATCGCGCTTTGAGCGCATGTCAGTTAACGACGAGAACGATCCCGGTGACGGAAACAAGTACAATATGAAGTCCAAGGTGCGCCCAACTCACTCGACTATATCAGCATCAACTAATACCCCTAAGGTGACAACATCGACAACCACTTCCTCCCAATTATCCCAGAGTGCCAACCGAGCCAACTTTCTCAAAATCGCCCTCCAGAATCAAAACACCACCACCCCCACAAGCACGATCGTCACGGTCCCTTCCCAGGCTGCGCAATGGCGGGCCTCGAACATGCAAAATGGGACTCCACCCAGGAAAGGAGCATCGGCACGAGGATCTGACGAAGTGGCCAAGGTTGAGCGCAAGTCGAATCCTATGTACGAGCAGCCTGCGCCGCCCAAACAGTTCCACCTTGGCATGTTCGAGATTGGGCGACCGCTGGGAAAGGGGAAGTTTGGCCGTGTATACCTTGCGAGGGAACGTAGCTCGGGCTTTGTGTGCGCTCTGAAGGTGCTTCACAAGAATGAGATACAGCAAGGCAGAGTCGAGAAACAGGTTCGGAGAGAAATTGAAATTCAGAGTAACCTTCGACATCCCAACATTCTCCAACTATACGGGCACTTTCACGACAGTAAGCGGATCTTCCTCATTCTGGAGTTCGCTGGCAAGGGGGAGCTGTATAAGCATCTCCGCCGGGAAAACAGATTTCCAGAGTGGAAAGCGGCCCAGTACATTGCTCAAATGGCAGCTGCCCTGAAGTTCCTCCACAAGAAACATGTGATTCACCGAGATATCAAGCCCGAGAACATTTTGGTCGGTATCCACGGAGAGATCAAGATTTCCGATTTCGGCTGGAGTGTGCACGCACCGAATAACAGGCGAAACACCATGTGCGGAACTCTCGACTACCTTCCCCCGGAGATGATCAAGCCTGGAAGCCAGGAAAACTACTACACCGAGAAAGTCGATCTCTGGAGTCTGGGTGTCCTGACATATGAGTTTTTGGTGGGAGAGGCTCCTTTCGAGGATACGCCAGTGAATACCCAGAGGAAGATTGCTAGAGGGGAGATGAAAGAACTACCAAAATTCGTCAGTCCCGAGGCGACGGACCTGATCAAGAGAGTAAGTCACCGTCTGTGGAAGGCTGAACAGCAAGCATTTCGCTTACCAAAATCTAGCTTCTCGTCTTGGACCCGGAGAAGCGAATCCCCCTCGATCAAGTCCAGAAGCACCCCTGGATCATTAAGCACTGTGTCAAGGGCGAGCGCGCCAGCGTACGGGACTCCAAGTCGACGGGCAGTAAATCCTCCCTGGGTGATCATGACGACTAATAATGAAATAATGACATGGGCGGCGTATCGGATGGAGCTGGAGGGTATTACGTATCACGCCAGATTGGATAGCATTTTCGGAGTCGGAGATCATTATATTCCTGTACGCCTGCGCTGAACAAGTAGTCATGAGAAGCAAATCTTGCCCCTACCGTGTTGCTGTTTTGTTTTGTACATGTTGATACACTGGCCTCGATACATACCTAAACTTTGCCCGCCAACCGACAGACCAGTCTACCTGTAAATCCCATCGAACGGTCGCGTGTCCGCGAAGCACGAGTCCCACACCTCGTTGACGACCTTGACGGCCTGTACGTCGTCCTTGCAGGCCGGCCTGTTCATCACCGACTGCACCGCCCTCGCGCGAACGCAGTTCTGATGCTGCTGCGTGAGCTTCCAATGGCTCCTCGTCCAAAACTCCCGCATCCACCGACACTCCCCGCTCAAACTGCTTGCCCTTATCTACTTCGCTGGTTAGAAATAGTCTCTCCTGTCCTTTCAAATTCATCCTCTATTGCCCCCTCCCCACCCCCCTCTTTTCAGAACCAGGAGAACAGAAAGAGAGAAAAGAAAAGAGGAAAAAATAGAGACCCACCTCGGTACAAGCCGCATGCCTCAAATCCGCCCAGTCCACCCTCCACCGCAAGTGATCCCAGGCATGCACCATCTCATGCGCCAGCGTATCCTCCAGGTGCTTGCGGTCGCGCATCTCATTGGCACAGATCAGGATTCCGTGCTCGGGGCTGAAGCCGCCGCCCTGGCGGACCCAGCGGCCGGTCTTCTCGTCGCGGCGCGTCGGGCACCGGCGGCACAGGACGTTATCGGGGCCGATGTCGCCGTTCAGGTCGCGGATCTTTTCCCGCAGGAAGGTGACGGTCGGCGAGTATTGGAAGCACCAGTCCCGCCACTCGGTGCTGCGCGCGCAGTCGCGCGCCTCGTTGCGCACGTAGGCGGCTTCGCGGAAGGCGTGCTGCCCGGCGGGCGTCATGCGCCCTGTGAGGATATTCCAGTAGTTGGACCAGCGGGCGGAAGGGTCGTAGCCGGTTGTTGAGGGGTCGTTGTCGTCGGTGAAATTGGGGGTCGGGGGTAGTGGTGCGGCGGTGTTTGTTGGGGGGGTAGAGGGCGAGGAGGAGGAGGAGGAGAAGGAGGAGGCGGAATCTGCCATTGTGGTTGTGGGCAGAGAGATAGTGGAGGAGAGGAGGGATTGAGTGGTGTGAGGTGCGATAAAAGTTAGAAGGTGGTGTTGATGTGATGTTGACTTTTGGAGTTGAGGGTCAGGAATCGCGACGGTGCTGTCTCTGATTGGATAGAGCACAAGGCTGCAGCGTCTCAATCTATTCTGCCATTTGTTCTGGCGCTCACGGCGGTGAGCCATCATTGAGCCCAACCTCCGTATTACGTGCAGACAGACATAGACATGGACATAAACATAAACATAAACATTAACATAGACAAACATACTACTTACTCACAATCTTCTCTAATCTGTAATATCCACACTTCTCCCCCGTTTCTATCACGTCATCATCAGTAAGAGAAGATTCATTCATGCACCTCAACACCTCAAGACCTCAAGATGAAAGTCCCCAAACCCTTAACCATCGTCATAAAACTCGGTAAGTTTTTCTTATTTTGTTATTTAGAGTTTGATGGTTTGGGAAAGAATGAAAAAAAAATATATATATTTTTTAAAAAAAAACTCGGACTGATACTTGAGGATACAGGCACGAGTTCCATCGTGGACGAAAAGAGCCACGAGCCGCTGCTTTCCATCTTGACGCTGATTGTCGAGACGGCGGTGAGGTTGCATAAAGATGGCCACAAGGTTATCATCGTGTCATCGGGAGCTATTGGAGTTGGCCTGAGGCGGATGAATCTGGAGAAGCGACCGAAACATCTCCCGAGAATACAGGTATGTTGGTTGTCCTACATATGTTTTGTTTTATTATCCTCCCTGACTACGATATAAATTTGTTTTGTATTGACTTGACCTGACTTGCAATTGTAGGCACTGGCAGCTATCGGACAATGCCGACTCATCAGTCTCTGGGACAGCCTGTTCGGCCACCTACGCCAACCCATCGCCCAGATCCTGCTCACGAGAAATGATATTGCCGACGTAAGGTCCTCTCCAAATCACTCCCCAAGCTATCAAATGTCCCATTATTAACAAGTAATACAGCGTACCCAATACCTCAACGCCCAGAACACATTCGCCGAGCTTCTCGAGATGGGCGTGATTCCCATCGTCAATGAGAACGACACCATCGCCGTGACCGAGATCAAGTTCGGCGACAACGATACTCTGTCCGCCATTACCGCTGCCATGGTGCGCGCCGACTACCTGTTCCTCATGACAGACGTTGATTGCCTGTACGACAAGAACCCGAGGACGAACCCGGATGCGCGGGCCATCGAGGTGGTGGAGGATATAGGGGCGTTGCAAGCTGATGGTATGTACTTACTTCCCTGCCTTCCTTCTCTCTTTCACACATAGTCCTATCCTCTCTTCCATTCCGTTCCATCCCATTAGTCGATTCCCCTTCTCAAAAACACAACCACATCAAGCGATATTGACCCCCTCCCAGTCTCCAGTGCAGGCTCAGCCCTAGGCACAGGTGGCATGACGACCAAAATCGTCGCCGCTCGCCTGGCCACCTCCGCCGGCGTGACAACCATCATAACCCGCTCCTCCAACCCAGGCAACATCCCCAGCATAGTATCCCACATTCAATCCCTCAAGACGCCCCTACTCACCACCTCCCTCTCCAACACCTCCCTCTCGCAGCTCGATGAACCCCTCTCCCGCTCAACCGCCTCTCGGTCTGGATCTCCTGCATCGCGAGAGATCAGGACGGGGGCACCCCTCCACACCCGCTTCGTCCCCTCCGCCCAGCCCATCCGCGACCGCTACTTCTGGCTCCTGCACGGCCTCGCCCCGCACGGCACCCTCTACATCGATGCCGGCGCGCACCGCGCCCTCTGCAACAAAGCCGGCCTCCTCCCCGTCGGCGTCGTCGACGTCGACGGCGCCTTCGCCCAGCAGGAAGCCGTGCGTCTCGTCGTCGTCGAGCGCCTCCCTACCACCACCACCACCACCACCTCGGACCCGAACCCCAACCCCTCCCACGCTCCCGGGGCGAGGCTGTGGAGCGGTCCGGGGATCGAAGTCGGCCGCGCCCTGGTCAACTACAGCGCCGCCGAGATCGCCCGCATCAAGGGCGTTCGCAGCTCCGAGATTGAGGGCTTGCTGGGGTATGCGGAGAGCGAGTACGTCGCGCTGAGGGAGAACATTAGTTTCTTCGTGCAGGAGAGCCGGCCTGCGACGCCGAGTGTAGAGAATCAGGTGAGATAGGTGGATGCTAGCTAGGATCTCTCGATTTCCGGGGTGAGGGTGTTTCCGGTTGCAGAGGCGGATGAACGAGAGAGAGGGAGGGGGGAGGGAGAGAGAGAGAAACAAACGAAATCATCTCTCTTTTCCTTTGCGGCTTTCTTCGCCTGATCTTTTTTTTATGGCTTTAGCTTTAGCGTTTGAAATGCAGGTTGCGTCATGTAGGAGTCGAAAGGGAGTCGGTCCATTCGGAGAAGAGAAGAGAAAAACGTAGAGGAGTGGAAAATGCGAGGATTTTTCTATTTCTTTCTAATTCAGTCAACAGACACCCTCGTGATCGACCTTGTAATCGATCGGCCAGTGCAATAAGCGAGCAAGTATACCAAATCAATCCGTCCAGCTCTGGCACATGTACACGCAACCCCCTGAGACGATGAACAAAACGAAAACGAAACGAAACGAACAAATATAGGAGGAGGAGGCCTCGGAACTCCAACAGTATCCATCACCCATCATCCAAACGAACCGCTCTCACCCATGCAATAATATCACAACCAGTTGCCTGCCAAACCGCCCTCTGATAAGCGCCAACACACTGCAATCAAGCCCTACCTAGTAAACTCCCTCCGCCCTTCAAGAACAAGAAACGAGAGAACCAACCACCCCACCCCACATCACCGCGCATCCGTAGGCGAGGAACTACTAGCCGTAATCTCCTCAAACTCCAGCTCCCAGCGATCGACCTCCTGGAACTTCCTCGCCGCCCTCTTCAGCTCCCTGCCGACCCGCTTCTCCAGCTCCTGGCTGTCCTCCGGGCTCGCATCATCGTCGGGCATCGGCGCGAGGCTGTCGTCGGGATCGACCTCGGCTTCTTCAACTTCTCCTTCCTCGGCGTCGTTCTCTTTATCGGACGTGGCACTGGCTTTCGCTGCTCCATACGTGCGCTTCACGGGGACTTTGGACTTGGACTTGGGAGTGGGTTTGTGGATCTTGGCTGCTTTCTTGACGGGGGCGGGGGTCCGTACTCGAGCGCTGGCTTGTCTTCGGGCGCGAGCTTGGACATTGAGGTGTGAGAGTTCGTCGTCGTCGGATGCTAGCCGAGAGACGTCGACTTCGTCTTCCGAGCTGGGTATATCAAAGGGACCACGAGTAGCGTGTCTGGTGCGTCTGCGTGGTAGCAGAGCTTGGAGCTGGGCCGTAGATAATGTGCTGGGTGGAGGGGCTGGACGCTTTGGTTTCCGTGTTGAGGCTACAGCTGCATGAACTGGTCTGTTTGGAGAATGTGTGAGAGACGGTGGGGATGATATTGGTGAGTCTTGCGCTCTTGGGGGTGGAGTTCGGCCTCGTAACGGACGCCGACCTCTAGGTGGTGCTCGTCGTGATTGAGGTACGAGGGAGGGGCTGGAGAGAACTGAGCTGCTACTTTGGGGAGGTGCCATGGTTTCGCTCATAGGTTCTGGGGTGTCGTTCCGTGCTTCAATTGAAGGCATCGGTAATCCGGGGGAAAGCTCGGCTTCCTCTCTGGCTTCCTCTCCGGCCTCCTCGTCGCTAGAAGGATAAGTCGCCGGAATGGTCTCCTCTGCCTCAATTTCCTCAAGAAAAGCTTGAGGTGGACTTGATCGAGGTGCTTGAACTGCCGACAGCTTTCGTTTCCTCGAGATGGACGACGACGGACCTGAGGAGCTTGTCATATTCCTTGTCTTCGAAAGGATCAGTGGCGTTGACTCGTCCTCGGGGTTGAACTCGTCATCGTCATCGTTATCGAACTGCAGGTACTGTTGTGGCTGTGGCTTTTGAGCAGTCCGTAGTATGCTAGGTTCCCTCTCCCTGCGCTTGAACGCACCAATCTTCATTGCTGAACCAACTTGCGCTGGAGTCCCTCTCTCCATCTCAAGAGCCATGCTGCTTGGAGCAACGGGTGCAGGATCTCGTCCCATCATGCTACGTTCTCTAGGCCGCCTCTTGGAATTGCTCAACGCGGACCTGTTATTCCTTCCCGCGCTCGTGAGTCCATTATTCTCTGCCAGATTTGACTCCACACTGCTGGACCTTACTCGTCCAGGGCCACGGCCGAGAATGCTGCGCTGACGCGTGCGTCTTTTGAAATTCCCAATCGCAAGCGCGGAACTGTCTTGAATCGCTGATGTAGTGCGCTCTCTCCTACCCACCTCTACCGCAGGACTGCTGGACTCGAGGTCGATTTCCGGAAGAAGCGATTCTTCCGTTTGGTCCTTTGACGATTTGCGACCTGTTCCTAGCCTATTGCCCAAAGTTTCGGTTTCTCTGCTCTCGGACTCACGAGAATTCTGTCCAGCTCTGGATCTTCGCGGTGTAGACGCAGCCACTTCCTTCCCCTTGCCATTATCCTTCTTCACACGTCGTGCGCTCGTAACGACCTCTTGCTCAGCATCACTAACATCGTATAGATCATTGAAAGGCTCTTTTTGAACAGCCAAAGCTGGAGAAGCGGCCTTCGTGGTTTTCTTGACGCGCGGGGCTGGCGCAGAAGGCGCGACTTTCGTGCGCTTTGGACGGGGCATTATTGAAGATTGTCCCTGGTGTATCCTCCACGGCGGATTTCAGCTGGCTTAATAACAATAATATTTATTTGATGTCGACGTGTGGTGTGCTGAGCAGTGTGACGAGGATTGTGGGGTGGCAGAGGACTGCAGATGGGCTAGACGCGCTCGCACGCGTTTGAATTGTTGGGGGTGGCGCTAAAAGCACGAGCTTCCTTACGAGTCATGACTGCTGTAAGTATTCTCACTCTCGAGTAATGGTGAACTTGAAAAGCCTCCACATATCAGACTCAAGTTCATGAAAGCATTGTCTGCTTGTACAATCGATCACATTCCGGATTCAGAATTTAAGACTGCCTACTTACGCTTCATATCGAAAGCCCCGGATAATCTCTCAAACCAATATTTTTAGCTTGATCTCACCATGAGACAGAATACCGGGGAAGCGCCATTATTGCTTCTTGCTTTGCTCTTGCTTTACTCTTGCTTTGCTCTTGCTTTATTTCTGTCGCCAAAGATATTGTTATTTGTTTCTACGAGAACGGGTGATGGTGGTCCTTGAATCGGATGACGTGCTATAAATGTTCGTGAGTGCTTTAGTTCCCGTACGCTGGCCCGCATGCAAGTTCCTTCATATTCAAAATCTTTACAATAGCGCCATCTCCCTCGAGAACTATTTACACTCCAGCCATGAAGTTTCGGAGTATAGTCTTCATCATCTGGGGAGTTTCTTCCAGGAGCGACTTTGCGTCTGTCCGAAGCGAAAGGCTGTGTTTGATTTTCTGTCCTACGTCCAGCCAAGCATTGCTTCTCAGGATCGAAATCCCCAGTCCAAATGGTTGATAATATGATTCAAAATCTATCGCAACGAAAACGGTTTCAGTAAAAAAATAGGATCACCCTTTCTTGGTAGTAATACCTTTGACTGCGAAGTATTGTAAATTTTGTGGCCGAAACCCTGCTCGGGGAGCGCCAGCAAAACTGGCAACAGGAGAACATACCTGAGGAAGTTTGCATCATAGAGCTTTGGATGAGAGGCCACTCACAATATCCACAGCTGGTTTCGCTGATACCTCTGGCTTTACGAGGTTCGCTCGCGTCATTTTTCTACTCATCGGTGAGCTTGAAGGCCGGTGACACAGGGTCGACATGCTGCCCAGATTCGCCATCGCATCGCTGTAATTGCAAAAATTTTCTGTCCTATCTTGCGCTTGTCCAAGAAACAGCATTGTCGATATATTTTGGTCTAGAGTCCTTCCCATGCGATAGTTCAAAGTGCTTTCGGAAAGAATATTGAGAACTTCTCCTCCTTTTCCCCGAATCATTACCCAATTTATGTTGTTTCGGCACGAAATGGAACAGACCGTTGTAACGAAATGCTGGTACTGGCTTAACAGCTACTTAGTTTGATGGTTTATGTCAATCTGAGCTATTCTGGTACCTATCGATGGTCTAACATTTTTTTAGATCCACAGCGCTAGTGAAAAATACGACTTGAGATGCCGAATTTGGTTTAAGGAGGTGTTAGCGATGTAGTCGGTCAGTCACTATTCAAGACGCTATACCAACACCAGACTTTTTCGCACGCCCGAGGGCAAGTTTCGATGAAGGTGACGTTGGTGATCTATTCAATCAGTCTACTCGGAAAACCTATATAAGCTGCCCCATGACCCCAGCGAACCTGCTCCAAAAATCACCTCACTTCTCCGACTTTGATCACATATCGATCACTTTCGCCTCAAATTTCTACCAAAATCTCACGTCTTTATAATAGCATCTCGGCTCTCGCTTCCTTTCAAGATCTCACTTGTTCTTAAAACCATGGACTTGCATGCTGAGAGTTTCCCCTCACAAGGACAGGAGTGCCTCGATTTCGTGCGAAGCTCTTTGGGCCTGTCCACAAGCCTCCCTCGAGGAAAGATATCGGAGCACTCTGTGGGTGCGGTTTATGTCGCTGTAAGTATATATACTTCCACCCCATTAGTTAGAGCCAGAATGTTAGACTATCTCTCGACCTTTCGGAATGCATAAATTGATTGAAACCGACCACAGATAAGGTTCAAGAACGTACAAGAACTCCTGGACCGTTACGACTGGAGTACCAAGCCTATCAAATATCAAATGGGCGTCGCACTTCTCGACACTCTCGATATCAGTCCTCACCACCCCATGCCCATTGAAACCCACAACTTTGGTGGTGGCCACCATGGCTACAAGGAAGCGATCAACGACGTCTCCCTCTTCGGTCCCCTCGAGCCGATATCGCCTGGACAGCTTCTAGGTGAACTCGAGTATCTCCTCGCTCCCTACCGCGCCACGAATCGACACGTGGTCCTGGTCGGCCACGGCACCACCCAGAGCCTCGAGATCCTGCGCGCCCTCAGATTCGATGTGGACGCTACATTCAGCGACTCTCTCGACCTCCTCGATGCCACGGATCGCAGCTTCAAGGCTTTGCTTCGGACGCTGCGCATCCCATCCTACGGCCTGAAGTCAGCAGGCAACGCCGCCAACTTCTCCATCAGAGCCCTGCTGACATTGGCCGCTGCGGTCGTATCCCATGCGCCATTCGTTCCGGAAATACCCGTATCCCAGCCCTCGAGGCCATCAGAAATATCATTCCGAGTCTCCAGAGCGGCGAGCGCCAGGTGCGCAGGGAGGGGGTGCTTTATACGGTTCAACTTATAGATTATCTATCAATACCGAATAAAGAAAGTTGAACGACATTTTTCGCAGAATTCGCCTTTGAGCATCCCATTGAATATCCCCTACTAGAGTCTCTCTTGCCGTGAAACTTTTGGGTTGCAAAAATGCCTTGAGTACAGGTAACCGTAGCTCTTTCCCTAATTAGACATCATGCAATATATATACATATTCGCCGTCCAGACTGCAATTAAATCCAGAAAGCACACAAAGGGGAGCCCGAGGTTAAGACTCAAGGTCTTCCCCGGCGCGATCAACGATTGGAGAGGTGAGAACCAACCTGATCTGCCCCCACCGACTCTCCTATACAGTAGTCACGCGTGCGCGTGAAATGCCGTTCCATCACTCGCCAGCCATATTTCGAAAGAAAAAACTAGAAAATTAGTTACCGTTAGTTCCTCAGACATAACTAGCTACCATTTCCGTGCACTCCTCTCCGTTACGCCGAAATGATCCATTCAGCCGAGCCCCAGAAGTATTTGTTGACCTAAAAAAGTTTTGGGGGGCCGCTAAGCGAGAAAAAAAACGCGCTCCGACGCGTCTCCCCCCTTCTATTTTCCCTTGACGAAAGATTTCTTTCTATGTGATCCATCCTATCCGTAGGGGAAGGGCGCATGCGACAGTAGCCTACGCTACAGCACTATGAATTGCTTTCTGGGGCCTTCTTGTATATAACTCCTTAGCTTAGCACGTCGCCGTACCCCATGGGAGGTGCCAGGGCGGCACCGCCCGACGTAAATAAATACAACAACAACAACAACAATCCCCCCTTCTATTAAATTCCGCACGGAACAATTGAATCACGACCTCCCACCCTCTAAAAAGTATTTTCTCATTCAAAAACAGCGGACAAAAATAGCAATAAAGGCGAGAAAAAAAATAGCCAAATAACCGCCAACTAAACTGGGGGGAGGTCCTCCGTGTCTGGCGAGGCACAGATGAAGGACCCCAATTCAGGGAACCCAGGGTACGGGTGGAATACGCCCCCCCCGCCGGCGCCGTCACCTCATCCATCACCGCGCACACGGCTAACAGAATACACGCCGAAGCAGCTGATTAGGAAGCCGACCGCGGTTTAGTGTACTCGATGAAATACCGTGCTGTTTGTGGTTGTCTGGCGTGGTTTTTAGGTTTATAGTGTAGGTAGGTAATTAGTGCTGGGCGGGCGTAACCGGGACACTTTTCAGTCTCGGCCCTCTCCCCAGCAAAGATCTCCGAACAGCTCGGGCGAGCTACTAAAAAATGCTTGGGATAAAACTGCCAACGCCCAAGGCGGCGGGGGGACGAGGATTGGTTCCCGCATATCTGTAGAGGAAAGGAGGGAGAAGATGAATTCGTACGAATGACAAAGATAGGGACACATCAGATGGTATCAATCGCATCAGCGATTTGTAAGAAATGAAACTACATGACAGCATTCGAGAGCTGCGCTCGAGATTTGGTATAATAATACCATCAATGAATTGTGAGCAGAGTTGTGGGATCGTGTGCCTATTTCCTGCACACTCCTGAAGGGCCTGGCTGGACCAGGTAGATAGATCACTTTGCAAACATGCTACCCGCACTGCACCCTTTATCAAATCAGTGCTTGTAGGCCTTGCATGCTCAACCTTCATCAAAATTTTTGCTTCATCTGAAGAGTTCTCAGACGCTTGTAAATCAATGCTCGAGTACCATCATCCCATTTCTGGCTTTTCGGCGAAGAATCAAAGTCAACAACACAACCAAAGAACACGACTTGGGATCAAGATTTAGTTCGAGACCGGATGGAAATCCCGCAACCCTAGCGCGTCAAAGACTGCTGGAAACAGGCTTCCGGGCCCGGGAGAATAAAACAAACGGGGTGCCTTTGGGTAAGAGTCCTCCGAGATGATATGCTTGGATCGCAGAGAAAATATTGAGTCCTTGGTGACTCAAGGCACTTGGTAATCAAAAGGGTTTCCCGCCGATAATTTCAAAGGTATGAAATGCCGAGTTGTTTAGCTGGGTAAAAAGTGTACCAACAACTCAAGACTTCAAGGTTTTCTTTCGAACATTGCTGCCGCTTTGGTAAATTATCCGCGGACAATTCAAAGCTATCCTGATACTATCCCGATATATCCCCCACGAAGCCTGAGCAGAATGCAGTGGGTTTTAATGCTTACCTTGAGTTACTGCAGTTGTCTCACTTTAACATGACCAGTGAGACATTATCATGATTCGAGGCCAATCTTAACCAGTTTTTTTGTCTTCAGCATCGGGTTGCGAGGATCTTGTTTGTCACCCGTCGATAGACATCAGGTAGATTGGATCATGGCTGCCTCGAACCCAGAAAGGAGAGAGAAGAAGACGTGTCTCCATAGATTCGAAGCGATGCTCCATTTTTCGGGCGGTTGTGCAAGGTAAAAAAAACACAATGATTATTGAGAGGAAATTTGAAGATTCACAATGAACCTGAACTGCATAAAGTGCAAACTCCAAGTTATTCTATCTCGTTCCCAGAATGAAATTGTGCGTAAAGACAATCGCCTATCAGTGCTCTCTTTGATCAGCATCAGCTCTCATCACGATCCTCGGACGGCGATTTCGGGCTTGCAGCTTCTCGATCCAGCCGTACTTGTAGAGGTTTCGCAAACAAATGCAGAACACGGCTTCAAGAAAGACCTTGAGAAGTTTTTTCTTCGTCATCTAAGCGATTGTCTGCTCCCCTTCAACAAGAAGACAAAAAGCAAGAGGATTCATACTTGGAAGAACGGGGAAAGACAGGGGGTGGCTTGATACTTGTTTATTGTTCTGGTACGTTGTTCTGGTGCGGCAGCTTAGTGCTTGTACTTCGCAGAACTGCTCACGAGCTTCTTCTTCAGATGCTTCGGGATTTTCTCTTTCCGCTTCTCGCGCTTCTCTTCCTTGACTGCTTTCTTGTGCTCCTGCGCTCGTGGTAAGCTGATAAAATGGCATTCGGTGAGAGGGGCGACGTACTTTCTTAGAGTCCTTGTCCTCGAAGCGCTTCCCACGAGGAGTTCCCTTCTCAAATCTACTCTCATCATCGGTATCTTCACTATCACTCCTCTCTTCACTCGGAAGCGAACTTCCCTCCATCGTATCCTCGCCGTCTGCTTCATTACCTGAAGACATGGGAACCTTGTCTGCCAATAGGTTCCGGTAAATGAGATCATCTTTCTGCCCTTTTCCGATCTTCTCCGCGTCACGCTCAATATCGTAAACTTGCTCTAGTGTCTGGGGGATATACTGTTGTCTGAAGACCTCGTTGTCGACCTCCTGCTCCGCAGCAGCTTGCTCGCCCTCTACCTCTGTAGGTCTGTTAAGCAGTAAGTTCTCCAAGGCTTCTGACAGAGCAGTTTCTTGTGTGGGTCCATCATGGGTGGTGATGAATGCGAAGACAGCTTGCTCGGACAGAACTTCGACACTCTTTCTCCGGAAGAAATCCGAGACGTTCTTGATGTCCATTCTCAGGAACTCTAGAGATCTTGGATGGTCGTGCTCGACACTTTGAGAAACATCTATGATAAATAGCTTCTTCTGGTGGTACAAAACGTTATACTCGCTTAGATCTGCGTGTACGAGTTTGCACGTATGATACATCCGCCGCATGAGCCCGATCATCTGGATGTACAATAATCGCCATTGCTCATCGACGTCCTCGCCTTGCAGCTCTGCATCGCGCAGTCGTGGTGCCGCCCAGCCTTTCTTATCTCCGAGAAAGCCCATGACCAGAACGTGCAGACGAAGGTAAACAGGCTCGGGACATGGGATACCGGCCAGATAGAGTCGCTTCAAATTGCGGAACTCCTTCTCTGCCCACACCTTGACCATAGCTCTATTGTTCCCTTTATGGTAGCCTGATCTGAAACGATGCTCGCCGGTGACATAACGATCTCGATCCTTGAACACCAGGATGCTGGTCTTGTAAACTTTGATTGCGCGGTGGATACTTGGCTGCTCCTCGCCTCCGTCGCTCGTAGGTATTGAAATGGCTCCGTACACATTTGCCTCCTTTCCAGTGCTCAGACATCCGTTGACCTCTGATACTATGCCTCTGTTGATCATCTGTAACAGAATCATGCGAGTCCGAGGATCCAACACTTGCTCGTTCGTCGCCCGATCGGACTTGTCCTTCCCATGGGTTTTGCTTCTCTCTCCTCCCCCACCGCCCTCCAAGCGAATTTTCCCGGCATGCTTAGCAAGACTGGTTATTTGGTCGTCCACACTCGTCTGCGTGTTGGCAATCGGCTTCTGGGAGTTGACTCGGGGGGCAGTGGCGGTCGGATCGTTCATCTTCCGCTGGCGATTATACGATTTTGTAAGATTGCCCGAGTTGGGATCATAGTCTACATCGTCGAAGAACTCCTCATCTTCCTCCTCGAACAGATCATCATAGGTCTCGTCCTCGTTGTCTGCTGCGTAGCCACCGGTGGGTGTTTGTGGCGGGGCGTCCTGGGAAGTCGTTGATGTTGCATAGCCATGACTTGGTAGGTAAGTATGAGTGGGAACTTGAGCTGCTGCTAGCGCAGATTCCTGGGAAGTTGCATTTGAGTCCGACATGGTGAGGTCTTTAATCCGTCTCGCCAGATTTGAGGCAGGTCGGAGTGCTGTGGTATTGTGGCGTTGTAGTGTTGAGGTGTTGAGGTGTTGAGGTGTGGTAATATTTGTGCATCACCCCGCTACTCGATATAAGTTTCTGCCGGCTCTTTCACCGCCCAAATCGCGCCTGGTCTCTTCGCGTCAAGGAATATTGTCCTCCTTCACGCGTTGGCGACACGCGGATTCCCTTCAACTCTCAGCCATCAACCCAACCCGGCCACCAACCTCTTCGAATACCTTCATTCTCCAGCTTTCTGAAGACATTGAATACCTGGCCTGGACTCGTAGACTAATCTCGCCAACCGCCACGGCGGCGCATAACAACCACGAAGATGTACATCAAGCAGATCATCATCCAGGGCTTCAAATCGTGAGTTTAACTCTTCTACGCATGCGACTGCGGCTAAAATATCGTAGCTACAAGGAACAGACAGTCATCGAGCCTTTTTCGCCCAAGACAAACGTAATTGTTGGTCGCAACGGCTCCGGAAAGAGTAATTTTTTCGCAGCAATTCGCTTCGTGCTCAGCGATGCCTACAGTCAGATGGGTCGCGAAGAGCGACAGGCGCTTCTGCACGAAGGGTCAGGATCCGCTGTCATGTCTGCCTACGTAGAGATTATATTCGACAATAGCGACGACCGATTTCCCACAGGAAAGGAGGAGCTCATTCTCCGACGAACCATCGGTCTCAAGAAGGACGAATACTCCCTGGACCGCAAGAATGCAACCAAGACCGATGTCATGAATCTTCTTGAGTCTGCCGGGTTCTCCCGGTCCAACCCATACTACATTGTTCCTCAAGGACGAGTCACAGCATTGACGAACATGAAGGATCCAGAACGACTGAACCTGTTGAAGGAGGTCGCCGGCACTCAGGTCTACGAAGCTCGCCGGACGGAATCTCTAAAAATTATGACCGAGACCAGCAATAAGCGGGGCAAGATTGACGAATCTCTCGATTACATCAAGGAACGTTTGGCAGAGCTGGAAGAGGAGAAGGAGGAGCTACGTGGCTATCAAGAGAAAGACCGGGATCGACGCTGTCTCGAGTATGCATTCTATCAGCGCGAGCAGAATGCTTTGACCGCCGCCCTGGATGAGATCGAGGAATTGCGACAACATGGCCTTGACGGCTCGGATGGCAACCGCGAAGAATTTATAGAAGGAGAAAAGGCGGTGTTGCAACTTGAAAATGAAATCAAGAAACTCACTCGACAAATGGAGCTCCTCAAGCTCGAGCGGCGTCAACTAGAAGAGGATAGGCGAGAAACCTCAAAGTCACAGGCCAAGGCTGAGATGACGGTCAAAACTCTGACCGACGGACTTTCGGCTACGGAGCAAGCTAGAACTAAGCAACAGCAGGAACTGAAGTCGGTCAAGCAAGAAATAAAATCGAAAGAAGACGAACTTGCCAAACTACTTCCCGACTACACTAAGAGAAAGGCCAAGGAGACCGAAGTCAAGAACAACTTGGATGTTGCAGAAGCCTCGAGAACGCGTCTTTACAATAAGCAAGGCCGGGCTGCTCGTTTCAAGAACAAAGCAGAACGCGATTCGTGGTTGAACGCGGAGATTGAAACACTCAGCACTGCCCTGGGTGAGCAAAAGGCCAATCGCATCAATGCTGCCGAGGAAGTCAAGGCCGTCCAAAGTGAAATTCAGAACGTGGAAGGGGGCATTGCTGGCCTTCGCAAGCGTTTTGAAGGCTGGGGAGAGAGTAGGCAAGCCTTGTACGAGGAAGTTACAACCGCCAAAGACAGTCTCGAGAAGCTGCAGGACGAGCGCAAGATTCTTAGACGTGAGGATGATAAGCTCACGTCACTGGTCCAGGATGCTCGTCAGGAGAGAGATCGCGCTGAGAAGGACCTTTCCAACACCATGGATGGTGCTACGTCACGAGGTCTTGCGGCCGTTCGTCGCCTTAAGAGAGAGCATAATGTCTATGGTGCCTACGGAACTGTCGCAGAACTCCTAAATGTTCCCGAGAACTACCGTACCGCTACAGAGCAAGCAGCAGGCGCGAGTCTTTTCCACTATGTCGTCGACAATGAGGAGACAGCTACTTTCTTTGTCGACTCCCTCTATCAGCAAAGAGCGGGGAGAGTAACGTTCATACCCATGAACAGGCTCAGACTAAAAAGCAACAAGCTGCCAAATGCATCTGATGCCATAGCTCTAATAGACAAACTCGATTTTGAGCCGGAGTATAGGAGGGCAATGGACCATGTCTTCGGCAAGGTTGTCGTTTGTCCTAACCTTACTATTGCGGCACAATACGCCAGAAGTCATCAATGCAATGCCATTACTCCCGATGGCGACACGGCAAATAGGAAAGGAGCCATGACTGGCGGCTACATCGATCCACGCAAGTCACGACTCCAAGCTGTCCGGGCAGTGAACAAATGGCGTGATGAGTATGAAGCGCTGTTAGCCCGCCTTGAGGAACTTCGGAAAGAAAGTGAAAGCAAGGATAATCAAATCAATCGGGCTTTGGGAGTTCTGCACAAGCTCCAGCAACAATTGAGCCGAATGGACGACAGCTTCGACCCATTGCAGAAGGAGTTGAGAACCAGTAACTTGCAGCTGGACAAGCTGAGATATTCTCTTGAGGCCAATATTCGCCAAAAAGAAGTTGTTGATCAAATGATCAGAGACCACGGCGATACGCTCAGCGCTCTTGAGGCTGATTTGGCTTCTCCATTCAAAAAAGCCTTGACTTCGGATGAGGAGCGTCAGCTGGAATCGCTCAACACAACTGTTCAGGATCTGCAAAGAGAATGGAATGAACTGAGCAAGAGCCGTCGAGAACTGGAAAGTCGTAAACAGCTTCTGGAAGTTGACTTGAGGGAAAATCTCCGGTTACAGCTGGACCAACTGAACACCCAGGAAATCGATGCAACAGCCGGCGGTGGATCGGGAAGTCTCAAGGAGGCCCAGCGTGAATTGAAGCGAGTACAGAAGGCTGCAGCTGCCGTGGAAGTCAAGCTCCAGGAAACTGAGGCGCAGATTGAGGAGGCTGAAAACAACATTTCGAGCCTTCGCAAAGAGAAGGCCCAGGCAGAAGAGCAACTGGAAGAAACTGCCAAAGCGATCGAGAAATTTCAGAAAAAGATGGAGAAGAGCGTTGCGAGGAAGGCGTTGTTAACCTCATCCGCTGCTGAGTGTGCCAAGAATATACGTGACCTGGGTGTTCTTCCAGACGAGGCATTTGAGAAGTATTCCGACAAGGAATCAAAATATGTATGTCTCTATTTCGTCTTTACCCCTTGTCTTACATGCTAACATTACGTAAGATCACCGCCAAGCTCAAGAAAGTCAACGATGCTCTCAAGAAATACAAGGGTGTCAACAAGAAGGCTTTCGAACAATACAATAGCTTCACCAACCAACGAGAGGGCTTGATCAAGCGGAGAAAGGAGCTCGACGATGGCCTGAAGTCGATTCAAGATCTTGTCGAAGTGCTCGATCAACGGAAGGACGAAGCCATCGAGCGAACCTTCAAGCAAGTATCCAAAGAATTCGCCCAGATCTTCGAGCGTCTTGTTCCTGCTGGCCGGGGTCGTCTAGTCATTCAGCGTAAGACTGATCAACGGGCTCCCGCCAACGAAGACTCAGAAGACGAGCCTCGTGGCGAAGGCGTGGAGAACTACACTGGTGTCGGCATCAGTGTGTCCTTCAACAGCAAGCATGACGAGCAGCAGCGAATCCAACAGTTGAGCGGTGGTCAAAAGAGTACTTTCCCAAACTCCCTCATACCTGATCACAACTAACGGAATTTAGGCTTGTGCGCCCTAGCTCTCGTCTTCGCTATCCAACAGTGCGATCCCGCCCCCTTCTACCTCTTCGATGAAATTGACGCCAACCTCGACGCCCAGTACCGCACGGCAGTCGCGCAAATGCTCGAGGATGTTTCCGAGCAGCAGAGCTCTCAAAATGCGGATAATGGCTCGGGCGGCATGAGCGGACAGTTCATCTGCACTACTTTTAGACCGGAGATGCTGCTTGTGGCTAATAAGTGCTATGGTGTCACGTTCCATAACAAGACTAGCGGTATTGGTGCTGTGAGTCGGGAGGAGGCGCTGAAATTTGTAGATGGGGAGGCGCCGAAGTAAACCAATGGGTCTGTCGCCTTTGTCCTTTGGAATGGGGTGGGATGTAGCTTATGTTATGAATATGGTAGGGCGTTTAGAAATGGACGGATACTTGGGTTTATGGTCGGTCGTTGTATGGGTATGGCCGCACATGGTGTGCTGCACTTCTGATTTTCAAGTACATAGGTCTCTCGCTGCAAATATTGGCTACTTGCAATGGAGAGCTTCTTGACGTGCAGTGTTGTACGAAAATACCATCCGCGAAACTTATGCAGCAGCTGGTCCGGGAATTGTGTCGTATCCTCGGTTTCCATTTCTCTGTCAAGCTCCAGCTCTCCCCCCCCCCCCCCTCCCCCGGCCCTCCTCCCAATCCTCCCCCGTCGCTAAGTTGCTTCTCTGGTCACCGGGCGCCCGATTGAACTTGAATAAGCGGTCTTCAACAACTCTCAACATGCTTCTGAAAATAAACAAGCCATGAAAAGTCTGGATCCACGCGTGTCTGGCCCTGCTCGTGTCTGCTGCCTAAGACGGAGACATCTCCTAGCCGCTAATTCCCGTATAACATTGCGCTAAAGTTTGGGCCATCTCCTTCATCCTGGCTCCGGGGATGAGATGATTGCTTTATTATTACTATTTGTTACCTTACCAATCGAAGTGCGTATGACAGCGACTTATTTTCTTCTTGATGTCTGGCCTTTTTATCTCGAAAGCTGGGTACTTCGTATCTCTGATTTCGACTCGAAGTAGCAGAGCTGGCCTCGGGAACAGCCTCGATATATTATATATCGCTGGGTAGATTACTTTTCAACTTTCCTCGCTTAAGCCTCGCATCACAACAATGCGCGTAGAAAAGAAAAACAATTCCAAAATGGAAATAATTGAAAAAACACTCCAAAAACCCCAAAAACATCAAAAAGTTCGGCCCGGTGTCGAATTGCCTACATCTTTTGTCGTACCGTATTCCGCCGTGATTTGTCGTGTGTGGTTCGGTGCTTCTAAACCACTCGGCCCCAAATCGTTACAAGTTGTTGATCCTCCTGCCAGATTGACCTGACAAGTACACCATTGTACCTGCGCCACTGGTTGATATACGTGTGCAACATCTCGAAATATAACAGAGCTAGAATTTTTTTTTTCCCCATCGGCGTCAGTTCGGGAGAGGGGGGGAGGCTTCGGCCGCTTCCCCCTTACACGTATGGCCCGGATTAGAGACATCGCCAGGCTTATACGCCGGATAACTTCGTGACGTACATTTTCTCCTCATTGGAAGGGGGGGAGGAAGAGGTTTCCTTGAGTTTTTGTTTTCTTTAACTTCTGGTGAGTACAGGCTGAAAACTGATAGTCTACGACGTCGTTGATACAGATCATGCCTGCGACCACCGAGACTCTAGACAAGAAAGAAAGATCCTGCTTCTGAATCCATGCTGATCACTCTGTATTCAGTTTCTTGATTCTGAGCTACTTATTACCTCACAGTACCGCCCCTGGAGCCCATAGTAAATAGCTCAGCCCGTCACGAATCGACCATCCTCTCAGGCGCGTAACTGCTCAGACAGGGCGACGGAAGATACACGCTCCGAGTACGATGTTGAGGGCATGGGAGTTTACACCGAAACACCTCTTCCTATGATTCAAACTGTATTCTTCGGGGATGCGACGACCATTGGAGAAAAACAATGGGCTGCTTTTCCCTGCCCAGTAGAGGCGAGAGCGGTATATATGGCTGCAATCCTTACGCGTGAAACTTCGAGAGGAAAAGTGGGTAAAGGAAAGCCGGCCTGCAACATGGGTTTTCATTTGAAGCCTCTATAGGGAATCGTTCGCAATCCAACTCGGTCTCCAACGGAGACGAAAGCAGTAGGCTGCTTTTCAAGTTCCTGGATAGCAGAGCCAGTGGGGGATATGCACGAATGCCCGTCTTCCTTGCGAGCAACTGAATGTGACGTTGATTTAAATAGATGTATCCTATATCGCGGTGTGTGATGAAGGATTTTGCCATCTCCGCTCTTTTAACGGCTCTTTTAACGGATGCGGTGAATAAGGAAGGGAAGTGGCGTCTATAAGTCATCCTGTTGTGTACAGGATACTTCATCGAGCGGCAGAGACAGCTGCTAGAAGCTTTACAAGAATCCGAAGCCGTTTCGAGAAGTCGGGAAAGTTGCGTGGTTCAGTTTTTATTAGGGGAGTCCGGCTCAAATATTAGGAGAAAGTGAATGAGAAGTTTCAGAACGCTTTTCTGGGTAATTGCGCGCGTGAGTAGCAGCGAGTAGTCAGTTCCAAAGGATTGACAACAAGTGGGAATATGACAACCATACATGGATTAATTGACACTAAAGAAAAGTCAGTGAGAATAGACGTCACATTCCGGACATCTCTGGCTCGAGACGCGTTTCTCTCGGCGTTGATTGATACTGGTTATCCAGATTTCCGAACTCTCTATTATGGGAACAGGTTGGTTGGAGTACGGGACATGCCTATATTTTAAAACCATGGGTAGCGTGGCCAGAAAACTCCCTGTGTACGGAAGGGGAATCAAGTATTAATTATGGAATCACAATTAATTAAGCAACGGGGAAAAAAAGTGGTTACCAAGTCATGAATTGATACCGTCTGTTTGTTCTTTAAAGTTAAACTGTCTCCGAAGTCAACACGGAATATTGTACCTATTTGCAGAGCGGCAATCCGCTCAAACGCAAGGTATATAACAGAAACTGCCGTGACTGCTTTGTTCAAGAACTGTGGCAATAGCTTTTCCTAAGAACGAAGACCAATAAACAACGAATACGCATGCCTCTACAGCACCTGTCCAAGTGCGAGTAGGTCTCGTCAAGGTCGACCGTCAAAGTAAATCGTCAAAGAAGGGAGCGTATAAGGAGATTAAGGGCTATTAGCCGGTATATCTGTTTCTAAATATCTACATCAGCTTAAGGGATGACGATCGTTAAGAAATGACAACAAAAAAAGCAAACGGCAAAAATCGTTTCTTAATTATGCCTCCGCAGCTCAACAAGCAAATTCATATAGTCTTACTGCTTCACGAGGATTTAAGGCGTCGGATAAGATATTCGCTATATAGGAGGATGCAGAAACGCTCCTAAACACACCCTGCTTGAGGTAAGCACCTTTTCCTAGGTTGTCTAGCTTTGGCTGGGTATGTGAGCCAGTATACTATACTTCATACATAACAGAAGGTGTCTTTGCTCTTAATATACTTTTCTTTCCCAGTCACGTATGGGTTCCCAAAGAGGTGCTTAGGTAGAAGTTCTTGTGTTTATGACTTTGATTAGTCTAGGGCTATTAGTTCTGGTTCAGCTGGATATTGTTAGCTTTAAGTAGGTGAAGACGGTTAGACTTGATTAAGCTAAGACTGCTTGTCTGGATTGGCTTGAGAGCCTACCTGGACCTTACATTTCTTTTATTAGTTCTATAGTCATTATATCCACCTTTTTTCTCTTTTCGAGGCTATCCTAAGTTACCATTCCAATTGCGGCTCCCACCTTGAGAGTTTCCATCAGAGCATTTGTTATTCTCATTTTAGTAAACCAGTTATCCTGATGCCTCAGGCGAAACATAACAGGACGATTAAGCTACCGGTATGTTTAGAGCCAAAAGATCGGCTCAAACGAAAATACATCTTCGGAAATGTAGTGATTATCTACTACGTCTTTAAAGATATTCTAGATGCTCATATACATATACTTTCCACGCTCACATCCAAAGACTCATGAGATCGTTGTATATCATCTTCCTCGATATTTGCACCCCCACCCTCGTTTTCCCGACTGCTTGCCGACTATATATATATATACCTCTATTACACCCACCATCGAAGAATAATAATAATTTCCGATTCACCTCCGAAATCAGCTCAATTCTTTCCTCCTCCTCAACTACACACCCTCAGCCACGAGCAAGCACGACCCTCCAAGCCAGCTAGCTAGCAACACCTTACTAGAAAAACCCCCGACCTCTCTCATCAAAGGACCAATTCGCCGCTCCGAACGAGAAATCCTATCTCATACACCCAAGTCTTTCAGAGCACTCACTCACCGCAGCTCGACCTAAGAAACCAGAAAGCGGGAGTTCTAGACCCGGCATGATTCACGAACGTTAGACTCGCTCGAGAAATCAACATTCGAGTTCCTATCCTCGCATATGATCTTCAAAAAAAAAAGAGAACGAGAGAGGTGTCCTGCAACTGTATAATCGAGACCCAATTCTCGGCGGCAGTAATCCGAACAGCAACAACAACAACGACAACAACAACAACGAACAACCATTCATCCATCCACCCTAAACTACTAAACGCAACGCCGCAATCAATCATGGAATCTATCTATCTATCCATCTATATGTATATATAGAGAGAATGAAAAGCTCAAGACTTACTTCCGAGAAGCAAGTAAGTAAGAGTGTGTATAGCTCGCAGTTGCACGTCCGTGCAGCTAGGCAGTTTAGTTGAGTTGATCCTGTCTGAGTTGATCCTAAACAGCATCAACTCAACTTGGTAGTGGAAGCCGCACGTTCTGAAGCCTATATGGCTCGCAACTCGCAAATTCAATAGCAATTTGCAACTCAAGATCCAGGAAATGGAATCAACTCGTCACATTTCTATCCTGAGAAACTTGAGGTCAACAACGCCACCGTACAGACGCAATACTGAACAGGTGGAGAAACCAGGCCTTGGGTGGGATGTATTAGTTTTGTACATTCTCCAAGTTCTAGCTAGTGGAATTATCGAATATCGAATATATCGTGGGAGCGAGTGGGGTTGTGATTGTTCAGTGCTCGGATACAAATACGCCTGCCATACCTTGGCCCTGTTGTTTTTCGCGTTAGTAGAGTGATGATTGAGAATATGGTTGCGGTTGCAGATCTAAAAGAGAGGAGGAGGAGGAGGAGGAGGAGGAGGAGGAGGAGGAGGAGGAGGAGGAAATTAAAGGAAAGGAGTAG